CGAGTAAGTTCGAAATTTTGATAGAATCGCCATCATAATAAGCTGTGCTTCTAGACCAGTTGCTATTCTATCACCGAAGAACCCTAATGACGAAAGTTGTTTTCCTACAGGCAACAAGGTAGAGGACAACTAGGTAAGAGTATCATCGAGTATCCTGCAGTGGCACAAATCCATGCATCACCTAGCTAACAATTTTTTATAAAACGGCCGGATACTACGTTTATTTCAATAGCAAGTTACAGTACCAATAACAAAATGACAACGAGGAGTAAAATGTTGAATTTTCTTCGAGCAATAGTCTTTCCCTATATGCTTCGTGTACCCAAAATACAAATCTGAATTTTTCACTTGTGCACTACGTGCAATCGTAAAATATTCAGGTATTTCGTGTGCACTTGGGATAAAATTGTTGTGTAAGTAAAAACTATAGGTATAAACTTTTGATTTTTTTTGTTTAAAACAAAAGTCCGTTTTCAAACCACAAGTTTATTTTTATTTGTTGTCCTTGTAAGAGCTAAGAAAAAAGACTGTCTCCAAATCAAATTAAATACACAACTGATAATTACTGTATTTTCCACGATGCAGACGACAATTATTATATTACCCATGATTTATCATTAATATTAGCGTACAATGTTGGCAAGATTAGTCACATATGACTGTATGATCTCAAACCCTAACAACTTTCATAGGGTAAACGTGTCTAATGTCGACCAGGTCCACTACACAAAAAATTGTAAAAGTATTTAAATATGTCAAGTAAAATATCTATTTTCCTTTCTATTGCCCAACATGTTTTCTACTAGAATCAAGTTTTGGTGTGTATCGTGGTTAAAATCTGTGTGATGGACCATTATTTAAATTTTTTTGTATTTTCGTGTTGTAAAATTTTTGCTACTGATTAAGTAAAACAGTGGTGGAGATTCCATTCTATAAACCGTATGACTATTGTGAATGCAAGCATTATAGTCATTCGACGTAAAACCAATTTTTTGCCACGCTTTAAAAACGAATATAAAATAATTATCCATTACAATATTATAAAAAATTATTACTTCTTTAGCCTCTTGCTTTTTAAGTACATTTATTTCTTAATCTTTTTCTGATAAAATAATTTGGTTTTACGGGGGTCGACCCACAAAAGTTTTATTTGATATTTTTCAAAATTTTCAAATAGCCATAAGGAAAGGCAACGAAACAAAATAAGTAAATAAGGAAAAAGTGTGTACGTGATGCTTATGTGTTCCCATACTGTTTGAAATAGGAAATCCAGAAACTCACCCTTGTAGCACTGCGGGTAGATATAAGGTCCATTTGGTGCAATAAATATCTTGTTGATAAGCTTATAGAGTGTCGTTGTTTATTAGATACCTTCGATTGGCATTTGCAGAATAGTTTGTAACTACCTTATGGTTCACAGCTGTAGGTTCTTCCAGGTTATCCAGGAGTTCCAATAAAGTAGTTTCTTGAGTTAAACTTTTGGATAAACAAATTTTTATCTACAAAATCTGTGTTTATAGTTATTTTTTTTAAATCAAGAATGTAAATAAAGTAATCCTTTTTTGATCATTTCCGCTTAGGAGATTTTAAGTATATTTTTATAAAGAAAGTGCAGAAAAAGATTTTGCTTCCAACCTTAAGTTTGCGAAGATATAAATAATTGAAACACTTAGCAGATTTTTATAATGTAAAAATAATGTTTTAGTAATAATGTTGAGAGTAAAAGTAGGTACCTTTACGCCATTTTCGTAAATTGTGTTATCGATGCTATTAGCTGAAATATTTTGGGTTTAAATGATTATAAAAACAACTTTTGTTTGAAAGTATTTTAAAAAAAAGCGACATTGTAGCTTAGTGAAGTAAAAGACGTTCAAATTCAGAAGCTCATGACTCAACGAAACACTAATTACTCTATTTAGAAAAGCGCATATTTATTGAACTAACAGAAACCTTGTAAACGTATCGTTACACACTTAGTTATTAGTTGTAACCAACGAAGACGAAACTTCTTCCCAACTTCTATACTGCATTATTAGCCATTCCATTATGTCAAGAACATTTTTAATTACGAGTATCAAAGCAGGAAAAGTAAAAAGTTATTAAATCAACAACGTAATTGCACCTTAACGAAAAGCTAAAAAATGTAAACTTGGTAGTGAAGAGAGCTTTTCATCCCAGAACACCAAAAGATATGTATTCCATGTTCGATACTGTGGAATGTGTAGCAGAAACAAAATCAGTTGACTGCAGGTTCCAGAAGATTTAATATAAAAAAAGAGGATGCAACTAAATAGTATTATCGAAACTACAAATAAATTCCACTTTTGAATTAAATCGAATCCATTGTTTACCATGCGCTTGCAGGTGGAAAATAGAAGCCTTGAAAAAAGACCGAGTTGTGTCTGAAACCTCGGCGAACTATTGAAATACTAACTACGAGTGCATCTGGTCCAGTTCCATTTTACAGAATTTTAGAAAACTTTGCTTTCTCGAGTGAAGTAGGTAAAGGTTTTTAGCGAGCGCCGATTCCCCATAAATTAATTTCAGTCAATTGTATTTTTGTGTAAACCTACTTGTGGCTTTTTGCTGCCGATTTACCTGTTTGACAAAGCTTGCTTCCAAGAACCGACACCTGCTTCATTGAAGAATTTACAATAGGGTGTTAAAGTGTAACTCATAAAGAGTTTAGGCGGCGTTCAAAAACACCGTTAACGGTAATTTTACAATCTATTTTAGAGACGGATAACAGGAGATATGCTTAGAGATTTGTTGCAATAAAAAAATAGGCACCTTTTTATTTCACAAAGCACAAAAAGGTATTGGTTATTATTATTACATCAAACTGCCAATGGTGAGGATCGCTCCTTGTCGCTGTCGAAGAAAGCAGACACTCCTTTGTACTACTACTTGTAGTCGAAAATTCGCAGAAACACCTTCAGAAATTTGATTTGCATAAAGCGCCAGTATTGAGCTCGAAATAAAGAGTCCTTACAATACCACACTGTATTTTAATAAATACATTACACCGATCTCTATTCTGTAGTTTTTGTAAATGTATTTATTTATGTCTCGTTTAAACCATAGTAAGTATACGAAATAAATAATTTTTTATACTGAAACGACACGTTCTGTAGGTGTTGAAAAACAATTTTATCTAGTAGAAAATTATATCCACACTATAGCATTAAACTCAATATTAGATGTCTAACTAAATTAGAAAAATTGTTACAAAAAAAGTTTATCTATTTGAAAATCTGCGAAATCATCGGTGCAGTTGTAGCTTCGCAGTGGTTCGAGTAAAAATTTCATACTTTGCCACTCAGATAGATCCATTTAATAGTTCTTAAAGTATTTTTATTTCAATAAGCTGAACAATAAAAATAGTAATTACATACCAAGGGAGAGAAAACAATTTTTATAGCGAAACTGAATTATACTCGAGACTCGAAACATCGAAAGTAATAATGAAAGCGTGCCGAGAAAATTGTTCTCTCCTGTAGTTCACACATAATTTTTTTCTCTAGTATCACATCATTTGTTTAACATTTTCTCAATCATAATGTAAAAAAAAATTGAATGAATTTAAAATACCTATGAAAACCAAGTAAATAGTTCTTTCGTGATAGATCTGATTGGAGTGTGGTCCAAAAAGTAACACCTTAATGTTAGGTCAATATCAGATGATTCAAAAATACGTGGCTTACCTACGTGGATTGTCAACTGAAGCATTTTACAATACCGTGTCTTCTGAAATAAACCATTTTGTGGCTTACACTGATTGACTTTTGAACCCTCAGAGAAAACCATTCATTTAAAGGGTAACGTAAAGAAAATCAATTTCTCAAGCATAACAATGATGTCTTCTGAAGCAAGTAGTGAAAAAATACATAGTATGACGTAACATTCTCACCGAATTGCCACAATAATAATTACAACTACGCGCCATAAACAAGTTACTTATTATTGTTTTTTTTAATAATTTAAAGAGATAGTAATATATTTACCTACTTTTGTTCAAGTATATATAGACTATTAATGGCGTTTTTAGTAGTGAGCTATAATATGGCATGTTATATGCAATTTCAAATTTATTCGTGTCAATAACAATGATTAGAGAAATAGTATATTGTAATACTAGTTTATAAGCAAGCCTTTAAAACACGCGCGACGGGTTTAAGGCTTTTAACGTTGTTTGTGAATCGTTTTCGTAGAGACGGTTACTAGTTTACGTTGTTAAACACATTTTTTCACGTTGTAATTGGTTCAGACATTTCACTATTTCTTGTTACCTAGACAACTTTAAAATTCAGCGTGCTATAAAAGCCAAATTACGCACGCTGCAGCTTGCTTTAATTTAGGATTATGATGCAGGAATAATAAAAAAGTATTTAACTGACGCTACAATAGTTCAATATAATTTTTTACGAAATAATGTAAAAAATAGCCCATAATAAGAATTAAAAAATAATTCAAAGATGATTCAATACCTACTACAAGAAATAACTAAACATTGTTGCTGTTCCTGATGACATTAACGTACTTACCAAAATTATTGATTGTATTGCAAATGCAGTCTGATTAAGAGAGAATTACCCTATAATAAAAGCTAAAAGAAACGAGATTAAAGCACTGCAGATATGTATCACATTTCGTATTTCTTAATGTAAAATTTTTGTATTTTTGTATTTTTGAAGCTTGAGCTTGTAATAAAATAAACGTTCTAAAAATCTACAAGAATGTAGCTTGTAACCCATTCCCTCACCCAATGTTTTGATTCGTTTAGATTAAAATTCATTATAAGCAGAGTGTATCGACTTCTGTATAAAAGCCAACCCTGCTTTAATATCACAAGGCCAAATTAACAAAAGCCAAACAAACAACTGTGTCGTTATTTTAGAGTGGAGAAACCAAGAAACTCGTGAAAAGGAACAGCTTTTTGACCTCCAAACCTTATGTATTTTTCGCTTTTGACGCAGAATCAAAAACCCCTCGTGATATACCTGAAAGCGATGAACGCGTCGCCTTGTTCTCCACCAACGATGTGAACGCCTCCCTCAGGAATGCTTAATCCGTGAAAGAATTGACGTATGTCGAGAGCATTAGCAGACCACGGTAAGTTTTGTAGACGTATAATGACACTCATCTTAACCTAGAACTACAAAAATATGATAGTATCGCAGACAATGTGACAATTTTTTTATAACATGTTTCTTGTACTAACGCGCCGCGTAACTTGCTGCATATTTCAAGATTTGCAATTGCGAATGTTCAGAGTGGTCAGTACCAACTACAAAAAAAGTAAAATTCAAACGTTTTTCTACTTTGTTATTAGGTAGATTAACATTAAAGAAAAAAGAACAGGAAAAATAAAAAAACCTTTTCCAGTTGATTTTTATTATTTTATTAAGAATAGGTACAAGAAAACAATATAATAATAATGTTATATAATTGTAAATAGCAGTAAGATTTTTCAAAAGCACTCTCTCGTCAAATCATTTTTCCAAACAAAAAATAATATGCAAGTAAAAACGATGCATGGGAAAACTAAGATAAAATGCTTCTCAATCTGTATCTAAGAAGGTCAAATTCGTTAATGTCAAAGAAAATAAGAAACCTGTTTAAAATGTGGCTAAAAGTGCTATGAAATAGTCATTTACTGTAAGAGTGTGTTAGGTAGCGGTTTATCCACGCAAGAATGTTTAAGCGTTGCTCATGTGCATGTATGGCAGATGTCAAAATCGAAAATAGCAAGATGGTCGTTTAACCTTAAAAAATAAACAGAGTCCAAATGTCCGCTTTATTGTGATCCGATTAAAGATACAATATTTAGTATACATCATCTGAAATAGATCTTCGCCCAGGTGCCGGCCTCGGACTTTAAGCTCTGGGCTTAGCATAAAAAAACTCACTTTTATTCTTAATGACATAATCTACTATTTGCAATACATAATAATATTTGAACGCTTCGATGTTCATTTGAAAATCAATAATTCGACATTGCTTAAAGTCATTCTCGTGAAAGGTACAGTAGTATCAAAAAGATTTGTTTATAAATTTTTACAGATATGTTTATCAAAACTAATAATTACAACAGTTGAATCGCCCCAATTGATGCAAATAGAAGATACAGAATGCGCCAAAACTCACGCCCCAGAGAAAAATGGCATGTAAAGAAAGATAGCAGGAACACGGAAAAATGTTAAAAAAAAATCTAAACATAAAAAATTCGAAGTTATGAGAGTTTAAATTTTGCACTTTGACTTCATTTATTTCTGTTGGAAAAATATTTTTTCAAGTTTTTTTGCTACAAGTTATTAGAAGAGAAAATAAGGAAGCTGTATCCTAAATTGTAACTGTTTAATGTTATTTGTGGCTTTTATTGGCAAAATTTTTGGACCTTTACTAAATAATAATAAAAAAAAATATAAAAAATCAGTATGACATAAAAAAATATCAAAATTTTTCTATGGGGCGCTAGTTCTGACACCCTATATGTAAAAAGTGATAACTATAATGATGTTTTTCCTTTGGTAAGTTTGTAACATGCTGCAAACCACTTCTGCAACTTAGCTGTACGTCAAAGAATACCAAAAAAATAGTAAAAGTCGTTTCTAATTTACAAATGTGAAATCACTATGCTACGGTTGATTGATGTAGGGATTAATACGAACGCATGTTTTAAATTTTGTCAGTGTTAAAAACTGATTGATTTTTTCGCCGGATTACAATCATTTAAAACAATTTTGATCTTAATTAATTGTTTTTAAATCGCTTCTCTCGAAAAAAATAGGAATTATATAACCAAGCATAAATAAAGTCATTACAAGGTCTGTGCATTAACCGCGTATGTATAAGTGTAGATAGTGTGGATAGTTGTAAAATTAATCGTGAAACTTCTTAAAAAAACATACTTACATGTATTTTTAAAACACTCCAAAAAAGATTTATAATCACCCACTTAATGAAGTTAGTGATTTCTATTGTTTTTCAAGTCTAGGTATAATTCTTATTATATGGAAAATAGCACAACTACGTTAAACGTTATTTAAAAATACAATTTACGAAAAATTTAAGTTCTCAAAAATTCGGAAACAATTTTCGAAAATTTAAAATAAATATTACTGTTTCTGACCAATCAATTCTTCATTATTTTAGTTATTCAGAATTATAGGTCGCATTTATTGTTTACTATAATCTAAAAGTCGTTATGTTCATGATCAACTTATTGTAGCAGCAAATCACTAGTTTTCCCTTTTTGCACATAATTTTCTTATTCTTATTAGGGGCAGTCGAAATTGACTTAAGGCTTCTAAATCCTTTGCTTTCGGTTATCCATATAACTCCACATCCACATAAATTCTTCAAAAATTCTTATGTTCCGAATAATATAAATTACAACATTATTACTAACAATTTCTTTTTAATACTCGTAAATCATATGTAAATATAGCGCTCCTAAAAACTGTGTCCTCAAACTTCCTTCCATTATGATGATGATGACGATGATAAAAACAATGCAAGTAAATGTATTAGGTCTCGCATTGTTATTTAAATTAAATGAAAAACATCATCAATTACGTCAATAGTAGGATTTTTTTAGCGCTTAACTATGGTTTCATCCATTTTCCATGTGTTGTAGACCCGGAAGGCGACGACTGCAGAAAAGTATCACACCACACACTGTATAGACGATTAGCGTATTGTTGACAAAGAAATTATTAAAATAATCCCAATTTGTCATAGCTAAATTTTATTTACCAAGTCTGTCTAACGTTTATACATTTTTTTATTGTAGAAAAAAGAAATTTTTTTTTTTACTACAATGTAGGTAATTCGCATATTGTACGTCTTTGGTTCCTGTCGTATTGATACTTCCAGAAGACGCAAAACTGAATTGAGCATTTTGTGCAGAAACCCACCAATCCTCACAGATCAAAAACTGATTACACAGTGTTATTTGTATTTTAGTAGTAAATTAAAGAGTTCTGTAATTAAAAACTCAAAAAAAAAATCGTCCTAATTATATTTGATTTGCAAATATGTACAGTTGCGGAATTAAAATTTCGGGCAGTATTTTTCTGTCACTTTAAAAAGTTCACTGTAAACTAGCCTTTACTGTCATCATGACTGACATTTGACAATTAAACTTTGTTTTTTGTTGTTAAAATTGTTAGACAATTTGTCTGTCTGCCCGTCATTATGCCACAAATCACTATTTTTGAAAGTAAATAAGTCAAAATGACAAGAGTAGAAAATGAGGTTATTAATGTAAAGGTTGTTTTAGAGTATACATGATGAAAAGGACAATACTGTCCAAAAATTTAATTCCGCAACTATACTTGCTCATTATTTATAGGAATAAACACTTATTTGGGAAAGTTACATCAACGCTTATTACACTTTATAGAGATTGGTTAATAAAAACAAAAGTAAAAATTTTTGAAAAAAAAGATAAATAAAACATCGTACGTTTTATACAAAAACAATTATTAACGTTAGAAGACCGATATGTACCAAAAAACATGATTTTTTTTTAAAAAGAATGGAATCTGTTATTTGGTATCGGCCGTGTGTCGTTCAAGACTTTTCGTCATCCCATTCATGACTCAGAGAGGAGCTAAGCTTTAAATTTCGTAATTTCCGTGATTTCATAGAATAAATTGCAACATCATGAAAGCAGTTTTAATGTCTGACGGCCGTTATAATCTTTAACGGACGCAGGCCGTTAAAAATACCTTTTCATTTGTCATTTAAGGTCCGTTAAATTCAAATAACAGTATGGGATTACGAAAAACAATTATCGGGTTTTTCAAAAATCTTTTTTGTTGATCTTTTTCTGTAGAAAAATCGATATTGACACTTTAAAATTTTAAAATTACGTAATAGATCCAGAAAAAAAAACAAAATAGTTGTTATTTCGCCGCCACTGCTTTTGTACTGAAAGTTGCATATCCATCCAAGTAAGATGTTCAGGCCTACGGATGAATCATGCTTTTGTTACGCATGTTATTTATGTTACAAGGAATTACGTTTTAAAGGGAACACAAACTATGACTTATTTTGTCATAAGGACAATATATTTGACTTTCAATTCGACCACCAATCTTCACAATTCGCAATAAAATACTACGTGTACTTGTAAAGACATCAATAGTCTTACAAAGCCGAGAGCGGAAAACCGACGGTGACGAAAATGTAGCCTAACTGACCTTTATTTCCATGATAAGGATCTTCCGCAAAATACACGAATTCTTGCAAAAATAAAGAATCGGAAATCGAAAGTTTTTGGCGGCACGCAAAATGGTCGACATTGGAAAGCTCCTTAGCGTTTCTAATTTATCATTTATTTAGTTAATTTGGCAACTTACCTCGAAATAAAAAAAATTCTTCACCGATACCCGCTCTAATAGTAATTTTTACGAGAATATGATGTATCTTGAGAAACTTTCGATAGAAAAATCGACAAATATTCACGAGCTGACGCTTATGTCAGCAAGATTAGTAAACAAAATGGCGCTGAAAGCCGATAACTTCGTCACAACGGCGCCACCAGTTCGCATTTTTGCCGCTTCGAAAGTGACGTATCGGCGCCACTGTCCGGGTTGTTGCCAAGTGACTTTTTAAATTCTTGTAGTTTTTGCTTTGTAACCGTATTTTGGTGTTGTGCTTGTCAAGGTTAGACGTCTATAATTGCCGAAGAAGACACAGTCTTGCCCTTTACCCAGTCGCCCCACTCGTCGCCCCATTTGGAGCTCGGCCTTCCAACGCCCTGGACTCGTGGTATTCTCGGATACGTGCACGTTCGTTATCACACGTCCGCGTAATTCCAGAAGAGTAGGTGTCCCATTCATTGGCTAGGTCGCGGGGCTGCGGGCCCGTCAGTGCAATGTGTTTTTTGTGGTTCTAATTCATGCGTTGTCCATGTGTGGGGAAATGTGTTAGTCGTCACGATGAAACTCAGCGCTCAGGAAACGAAAGATCTGCATAAGTACACCAAATTTTTTGCCTTGAAGTCCGCTCAAGTCATCATACAGTCGAGGGTCGCGGATAGGATCACCACCCAGTGCAAACCCAACACCCAGGGCACGGATTGGGTAACTGTCCGTAACCTAACCCCAAACCAACACTAATAGATCTTTTTCAGTTCAACTTGCACATCAATGACCACCCAGAGGTCATAGCCGAGACGAAAAAAGCCCTAAATGGAGATATAATCTCGCCGTGTTTTCCCCTCTGCGTCGAAATCTCGCTGCGGACGTCAGAAGGGGATCAAATGACGTTGGAATCCTGGTGCCTTAGTTTATTACCTGAACAGTGTGATCCTACACTTAAAAACATCCCTTCTGTCTATAACAGAATGGGGCTCTTGTTAAAATCATTAATATCAGTTACACGAGTGACGCCTGCTTATAAACTGTCTCGCAGGCAAAGTGCTGATTCTTATGTTATGTGTTACCGCATTTATTTGGGTCAGCCCGTACTACATAGTCTTGGAGAAGATTATAAACAAACAAGGATAGGACAAATTTGTACACCCATTGGTACATTACAGTTTTCTGTCGCATACAGAACAAAAATGACCATTTCACCTACTCAGACTGGAAAAAATTCAATCATGGTCAAGAGTGACCACTTTAATAGTAATTCCAACACCAGGAGGCACAGGAATGGGTAAGTTTAGACTGTCATTTTTTTCATTGTAGGTATAATTAAATCTAACCACCCAAGCATAAATTATTTTAAAAACTTTTTTGTATTTTTTCTGTTATGTTTATCGTTACGTAATTAGTTAAATAAGAGGTTTGCTATTGTTTATTTACTTCAGTTTGTTTGTGCAGTTGTTTTTGATGTTAATTATTGGATTGAGTTACGATAAACATTATATAATGTTAAATTATACATTTCACCCAGTTTCGTTAGAAAAATCTACGTTTATTGAGCAATTGTTGATGTGAATACTTATAATTTTGAGAACAACATGTATATTCTCATTGTTTTTAGGAAGTTTCAAAGTTCACAATATTTAAGCAAAACATTAATTAATGAAATTAAAATTGTCTGTTCGCAGAGAAAAACCCATAATTTTATATAGTAAAATTTAATTATTCGACGTGATGCATTTTTAGTTGAAATATTAATATCGAACTTGTGAAAAACATGTGTTATTGACGTAAATTAATACGATTACTAAAAGAATTGATGAATTCATTAAAAAGAATTTGTTTACTACGAACGTAACATTATTAAGTCATGATATCTTCAGAACACAAAAAATTCCATTTGTTTACTGTGAAGTTCTTTTTGTTAATAAAATCCTGAATTTTATACAAAGTGATCAGAAATGACCGAATTAGCAATACTGAATTTGGTTTTTAAATGATACCATTTCCAGTTGTTGACATCTTGAGCCTGGCAAGCATCATTTGACACTGCAAATTGCATTCAAATTAACACAAGCATGAATTTGGTTACCTCAATTTTTTTTTTAAACACAACAAATTCCGGTTGCAGTTGACAACTTAATCAGTCAGTCTTGTTCACCTTGTATAATAAATTTGATGGAATTTTAAGTTGTTGCGTCTTTTTTTGGAGACGGATTTAGGTAGAATTTTCGTCAAATTCTTGACTGCTTCATAATTTTGTGCGTTTATAAGTAAAAATAAAATTATGCAGAAACATAAAATACAATTATTGAATTTACGGTATTATTAGCATTTCAAGTACTTCCGACATTAACCTTGTAGTCAAAAACTTAATTACAAATAAAACTCGAAATAAATTATTTATTGGGCTTAAAGTGAAATGTTTTGAATATTTAAAAATTTTTAAATGTTATGTGGAACAGTTATTTTAAGATTATTTGTGAAACTTGTATCTTATAGAAATGCATAAAAATCTTTCCAAAGACAAAGTTGACAATATTGCGGTTAATTTAAAATTGCTTATATAATTCAAAGCTTTTAAAGGACATTTTATTTTTGCAGTCGTGGAAATTTTAATTGCCTGATAATTTTATCAGGTTGTGTTGGGTGACTGGGAGCAGTAACATTGTAATAATTTATTTGTTATGTAATTTTAAAAATAACTATTGGCTTCAGTTCATGGCGTTTAGTTTAATTGAAAGACTTGCGTCAGAGGATTTTTTTGATTAAACAATTTGATTTACTGCTATTTGCATAATATGAAATGGGGCGTTTGTGCAAGTCACTGTTTTGTTTTTATTTTGATTTATGGTGAAAGTGATTATCATATATATTTTATTATTTAGCCGTCACTTATGATTTTTAAAGGGTCGTAAAATTAATATTATTTTTTGAATTTGTTTATTGTCTGTTGATTATATTCGACCTCAATTAATCAAAATGCGGATGGAAATTGGCTAAAAACAAAGACTCTTATCGGTTTCATTGAAAATACATCGTGATCTTTTATTATTAATCACTGTTATTGATTTGATAATAACAAGTATGTTGTAACGTTGTTTATGAATAATAATTGAAAATAAAGCGTGGAATGAACTTGGAACAACGTATCTCAAATATGTAGAAAATGCAGTAAGATGCGATCATAATACCGGAAAGAGTTTTCCAGCGGTTTAACAGTTAATTGATTTGTTTTTTATTTTTGTTTCAGCGATGATATCAATGACTTGACAAAACCGATGCGTCCTGGTCCGTTCGCGGATCCCAAACCTAAGAAAACTGTGGAACCTCAACTTCCCGGTGTAACACGATTACTGGCAATGGGAAAATATAAACCACGTCCTACCAAAAATTCAGAAAATGCTGAAAACGAAGTGATAGAAGAAAACTCAAGACTTATAGAAGAAGATGTTAACAACAGTAAAAAAGAAATTTCAAATTCACCCACGAAATCAGTAACAAAACTGACATCATTAAATTCATCTAAACTATCAATTCTTAGTAATTTAAAATCAGTGGATGAGGAATATTGGATGCAGGAGTTGGTAAGTTGAAAAAAAAGTCGTAGATTAAAATAGGAAAAATACGCAACCTTTGATGAAGGATACTTCTAATGCCGTAATTTCGATCTTTGCTTCAATTATCTTTGGTTTGACGTAATTTTCTATTTATTTGGCCTTTGAAAAGGTTAATGTATCAATATTGACCCAATACCGGTTAGTGGAAACGACCTAGTGTTTTATTTTTCTCTGAGGATGTTTTTGTACCATGGGATGTTTTCTTAGATTTGTTTTATGGCATTACATCTGATAACTTGGTCTCGTGTTAATAAAATACAGTGATAAACATGTGACTAAGTTAGATTGGATAATAATGAGCAATAAAATGATTGTGACTCAAAATGATATCCTTGTACTATAGACTTTCTCTGGCAACGGTTTTGGAAAGCCATTAAGCCCACCTGAATAAATAGAAATAGTTAATTGGTAGAGTGACATTTTCCCTCTTAATAGATTTGAAAGGAGGGAACGTAATACGGAAAGTTAATTTGAGATGAGCTATAATAAAATTGTCGTGTTTGTTTACGATATTATATTTCACACTTTCTCCAAACATTTTGCTATACACATCCTGAGGTCAACGTTTGCAAAAATCGCTTCCTGAAGTTGTATAACAGGAAAATAGTGACCTTGGCATTTTTTCTGTATTATGGACTTTAAAATTGAATTTGCGGTATATCTGTGAATTTGGCAATCAAATAATTTTTGGTACACTCACTTCCCATGGTCATCGAAGCAAGAAAACCAACAAATAATTAATTGCAAAAAAGTTGTATTATTGTTAAAGTTTTCACAAATTTTAGGGAGCCTTCGAACTATTATTATTTAATCATGACAACGATAATTATTGTAATATTAAAATATTCACCTTGCCTTGTTTGGAGATACAGAGATAAAGCTATTTTTTGTTATTGCTTGTTGAATAATGGAAAAATTTCCATAATATATTCTCAAAATAAATCGATAAAAATATTCGGCGCCACAAGTCTTTATCTTATTAGATAATTTGTTTAAAAGATTATGTAGTTGTTTGTTATTTAAAGATGTGTATCTCAGTTATATTGTTATGTTTATTGGGCTTAATTTATCTTATCATCTTGTTGAAGTGTTTAAAAATAACTTTCACTACGATTGGTTCGAAATATGCAAATTTAACCAATCTTTCTATCTTTAGTTGTTGAAAGTAAAAATAGTTGTTTATGGGTTTTGAGGTCGCTTAAAAATGAAGGTGGCAATTTAAAAAAATATAATAACACTGATACCCTTATCTTGTACTTGAAGTAATTTTGAGTTCATCAGTCGTTTTGACATCTTGGATTTTTTACGTATTTTTAAACAAGTATCATGTCAAATGACCGCTCATTAAATTCAATTTTAATTAATTTAGAGGATTATTAATATTGATATGAAAATATTTGCATAATTAACACGAAAATAGAATGCGATTAAAATAATTTATAAACTGTGTCTAGCTTTCTATATTTTGGTTAATTTTTTTTGTGAAAATATGTTATAATATTTGATTTTTTTCAGAGTGCACCGTTTGCAAATAGGGGCCCCATGGGCGAGCTAATGCATTTTTACAAACAGTGTAAAAAGTCGCCCCCTTTACAGTCTCCTCAGAAAAATCCAACACCTGAAGAAATCACCGAAATGATAGAAATGTACGAATCCCAATTACCCGAGTACGAAGCTCTAGTGCAGTCATTTTGTGAATCACCCGATAATAATTAAAGTAAGAGTTCGTTTTGTAAATTTTGTGTTTATTTATTGTCATGTCTAAAAAAATTAATTTTTATCGATGTACCAAATGTCACGATGTAAATTGTTTCCTTTTGCAAAAGACTGATAAGAATATAAGAAGCGAGTGTAAAAATGTTGTACATAGTGAACATTAAATTACTTAAAATGAAACAACAAAACTGTTGAACATAAGTTTATTTTTTAAAGTTGTAAATAATACAGTTCATATATTTACAAGTTTTTGAACATTTGAAATTTTAAGCGATTGTATTTAGCCTATTATTCTGTGCATTGATCTGCTAAAGAATCAGCTCAAAAGCATCTAATTTTTTAAAATTAGTAGTTAATGAGACAGTGAGCAGCGAATCCAAGGCCACCTATGTAAGGCCTTGACCTGAGCTGAGTAACTGGTAAAGAAAGTAAATTATGTGAAATTTGTTGAGTTTATATTGCATTAGTTCCGTACTAACATATTAAGTATTAGATACTTTCGAGCAATATTTTTTACAAACTTAATTCTAAAAACAATTCAGTTGTGTAGTAGGTACTTTGGATTACTTCAAAACATGTTTTATAAACACATATGTATTTTATGTTACGTTCTATTTGCTCAATATTTAATTTGTTGTTGCGTATTATTTATTTAAGTATCTACAATATATTTTTTTGTGTTTTGGTCCATTTTTTTGTATAAAATTATTTTAACTGGTACAAAAGATTTATCTATCAAATCAATACAACATCAAATACATTATTTATTATTATAACTTCTGTGTTTTATTTATATTTATCATTCCAATACTGAATTTATCTGATTGTCGTCGAAATGAAATTTTTCCGAGAAAATAACAATAAGCATTTTGACGAAAAAAGTTTGTTGCAAGGTATGATGCAACTTTTGAGAAATTGAAGATAGTAATTAAAGATTTCGTGAATTTCTGTGTATCAGTCTTGAATTATACAGTGTGATAGATGGAAAAAATATTGTAAAATAAATTGCCAATCTTGGAAATTTTGTAATTGGATCTCATTTATAAATTTATTTGTGCCAAATTATTTGCAACTATGTATAGTTCAATAAGAAAACCTGTTTATATTTATTATTTCAACATTTTCTAAGAAATAATGGAAGCACTTGGCGTTACAGTATGCTAAATTAAGTGGGTTATTTATTAATTAGTAAAATTGTGGGCTGTCTCAAATTTTAGGTCAAGTCCTCAATAACCATCACAGATAATATGTTTTTATTAATAGCATGTAGGACAATAGTTATATTCAAACAATCGGGACGAGTAGAATATTCCCAGCTTTTTTAATTATTATACATTAATTTATAAATGTGTCCGATTCTAACAATGTTGCTAAAATTAATCAAATGCTTGATCTAATTCATTGTGAATTCATTAATTATTGTATTTATGAACCCATACAATTTAGCATAATGTGGCGAGATAAATATTGCAATTTAACTCAATATCGTTTTAAATTTATAATTTATTGTATTAGAGTCACTATAGATATTTACATAATTTTATAGAATGTGCAGCAATTTACTAATTATATTTTAATACAGGGTGATCAAAACTACTTACTTACATCGACAGTATCGACACACCTCGAATCAAATCTAAATTTTATATCTAACTTAGAATAACTCATTGTGTTACTTTTCTGCCAAAGGTTTGTTCATAGTCTTGTCTACGGGTCGCCGTCAAATTAAGTATAAAAAAATGTTTTACAGTTCTAAGTATAGCTTTATTTGTAACTTGTGATTTATTTAAATTAGTTAAATAATATTTCATTTATTGCTTCAGAAAATAGTTTTAGAATATATGTAATATCACGACAATTGTTTAACAAATCAAACCCTGCTTCAGTTCTAAAAGCACATTATAGCGTAATTATTTCAGCGATACATATTTTTAGATATACAGTGTTTATAATATTTGTAGTTCAAGTTAACTATGGGCTGGTTTGCTGTTATCATATGTATTATTTTATACAGAAAATGTTTCAAGATTTTATATTCTTGCTTTTTTTTCGTTGTTTTTTTTATTTATAGATTTTGTTAACACTGTTTGGATAAATCGAAATTATATTTTGATCACCCTGCGTACCTACTTATCCGCTTTCAAAATATCATCTGCGCTTTTATATCAGTCGTTGGGAGTGTAATCTTTATTGTGATGTTTCAAGAACAAACAAATCTCCTTAAATGTGGGTCTTTCAGTGTCGTCCCTCTTCCAGCATTGACACATAACTTCGTATATTTCTGTTGAGCAGATGGGAGGCTTGCTTAACAAGACCTGAAATTAGTATTTGTTATTTATTTGAATATTTTTTATGCTTCTTTAACCTGTAGCTCGCCTCCGTAATACATGTGTTCAGCGTTTTGTATGACTTTCTCATTGGACAAATTACTAAAAGGTCGTTCGCATGCAAAAGTGAGAATTTCCCATAAAGTGACAGCGAACGCCCAAACACTGCTTGAGCATGAATATCGATCCTGGAACAGTGAAACTAAAAAATATTTTTATTAAATTAATGGGATACTTACGAGAAGAATGCTCTCCCAGGGTAACCAACGAATGGGAGCAGGTGGCCGACCGCCAATTTCGGCATAATCTTTCTTATATTGGGGTTTACACATCGCTACGTCTGCTATTTTAACTACAAATCTTCTACCAACGAGGCAGTTCCTTAAGTTAACAGTATCAAAGTTAGCAAGTTATGGAAGTCGTATTAAATAAAACATACCTAGCAGCCAGATCTTTGTGAACTACATGTTTGCTTTCGAGATACTTCATTCCGGAAGCTATTTGGCTGGCCATGTAGATCAGATTATCCACGCTGAAAATGAGATTAGAACTGGCATAATTTATTTATGAACAACTTATTAAACACTTTGTTTAGTTTTAACTGCTCAAGTTTGTATCTACATTCACTTTTTACATTGTCGGGTAGTTTAAGTAAAATAAATTTTGGAATAACTAAAATGTAGTAAAATGTCATACGTAATGGGTAGTATGAATAAAGTGTAGCAAAAGCTTTTGCTGTAGTTTTGTCTCTTTCTTATAAAATTAAATTACGTCTATCTTTTACTATTACAAGTAGAAGCATTTACTTAACTTTATTCTTACGGCCTAATAATGGATCGATTTTTACGAATATATTCACTATTCATTCCTTAAAATTCAAATTAAAGTAAATTGATGAATAAAACGATAATTTCAGTCTCAGCATTATTCTACTTGTCAACTAAATACAAATAGATATTGTGATTAGTAAGGCTCGGATTATATGCAAAATGCATATTTGTTATTAAGAGGTATATCAACAAAATTGTAAGTTTTCTATGCATATCTAATGTTTTTTAATTAAAATAAGCCAAATAAAAAATGCATATTTTGCATATTTTGGCAACTTGGTGCATATTTTAGGAAATATTGCATATTTTCTTCAAATCACTAATTTCCGATTAAAAATTTCAGTTCAAGTTAAAAATTGGACAGTTTATGAGAAATGATCCGATTACAAAATATTTTAAAGAGAAAACAACCAGTAATTCGTAAGCCAAACTCAAAAAATTAGTACCTTGTTGAGTGTTTCCTTTTTAAATTGTATTGAACCAAGCGGGTTTTTTTAATCATTTGTTTCCAAAAAAATAATAATTAACATAAATTAAAGTAATATAAAAAATGATCTTATTTTAAGAACAAAATTTTGTTTTGTTTGAGTTATTCGATTTTTGCTGTCTAAATTACGATATATGTAAAAAAAATATTTAATACAAAGTAGATAGTTGTAACCCCTTAGATCATAACCTTCATGAAAAAAATGTTTTTTCGGTGGGTTCCCATTTAAAAAAAAATAATTTTGTAAAACTCAAAAACAAAATAACAAAAATTTCGAAAAATTTTATTTTTGATAAAACATCACATTTTTGTAGAACTTTATAATTAGTTTTTTCAAAAAATAAATACGTTTGGCTTTTTATTGTTCAAAATTTTGCATACCGATGCATATTTGGCATATATTGGAGCATATTTCTTAATATTTTGTGCATATTTTTGTGAAAATACGTGCATATATACATATACGCATATTGTACGATTTTTTCGTGCATATAATCCGAGCCTTAGTGATTTTTTACACTTCAACTTTACTTCCATTCGATGCAATCTGCTTGAAAATGTTAAATAAATTTAAAAAAACGTATTTTTCCCGGTTACTTAAATTTGCCGGTGTGTGTATGTACTCGTACCTATACCTATTTTTTTGAAAATATACTACTTGTGATTTCAACATACTTAAGTCATTACAAATTTTCTTTGATACATTTACGGACACGGACACAGACTTTTGGACATCAAATTTTTTTCTCAATTTAAAAAAATGTCAATATAAGCCACGCTTTATTGTCATTATGATTGTCGTTTGAAATTAAAATTTGAAAGTTTTAGTTGAAATTTATTTTTGTCGTTGATTTTCCGATAGAAATATGCCAGCAGTACGTTTTTTTATAAGTTCAATAAAGTTCAATGTCAGGATAAAATTTACAAAAATTGAAAGAAAGGTTGGCTGCACATAAGGCCAGTTTTACACTTTTATGTCAGTCGAATAACAAATCGTCTAAAATTCCATGCCTGGAACTGTACGAATCATGTCAAAAGTAATTTGAATTTGTTTAAAAAATGTAAATCACATTTTGCCATTTTCACATTTGGATAGAAATTGCGAGAACAACTGCCCACACATGTTTTACAAATTGATATTAAAATATTGTTTGTGTAAATAATACAAAAACATAATTTTCAACTTTGGTGGATGCGCCGGGTTCAATGCACAAATCCAAAATATTTACTAAAGAGGTCGACAAAAATAAAATAATCAACAATCATCAATAATCATCACTTAACAGAAAAGCACAATAACGTTGAAATTAAAACATTTGCATACAACTAAATAATCTGTAAACCATTTTTATAAAAAGTTGATTTTTTGCTTAAGCTTCTGAAATTTAAAATTTCTTTCATCAACAAACACAATCTACATTTTATTTTATTTTATATAATTGGATGAATGTTGTAAACAACTTTTTCATTAAAATTGCGTTAGTCAAATTACAATAATTATTATTTGGAGTTGCGAGTGTTTGGTAAAAGTCTCCCTTGTCCAAGACCTCAAATAGCACAAGCGTGGCAAGTTGGCATTAGCATTATTCGTCAATCTGCTATTATCAATTCAGATTTTATGTTCGCTATTCGGAAGATCTGACCATCTGGTATCAGCAATCACTTACCTTACGGGTTGATCGGTCGAAGACCGAACWGTGCCATTTCTATTGACGAGAAACTGCAGATACTGAGCTAGATCTCCCATTTCACCGTATTCAATGACGGTCCAGGGTGGCTGTTCGGCCGTACAAACTCCCAAAACTTTACAAATATTCGTATCAGATAAGCTGGCGAGGAAGCGAACTTCTCGAAGTGATTCCATTGAGCCTGTCGCAGCATCACTTTTCGCTCTTTCCGGACTCGGTGTTCGGACAGCCACTAAACGACAAACGCCCGGAATTATATCCTCTAAACCTTCCGTTTCGCAGAGGGTGATCTGGAAACGTTATGTTATGACATATTAGATCTTTTTCCCAAACCCGCCCTTCCACACAACAAACAATAAAAAGTTACTCGTATTTCTTTAATAAATTTTATTTTGGGGAAACGTAGTATTTTACGAATGTAAAGATCAGTAAAATGTCAAATTAAAAATTGGGGTTCTTGTAGGTTGCATTTATTTTTAATTCTTTAATCTGCAAAAGTCAGGAAGTTTGAAAAAAGATGTTTGCTCGTGATTTGCTAAATCCAACAAAATTATTTCCTAATTAAGTAAGAAAGTAAAGGGTGTAATTAGATAAGGCGTAACTTATCCAATTTAATGAGTTACCTACCTCTCCGGCGTGACAAGATCCGACTTTTTCCAACGGCCGGAGAGAATATCGCGGTATCGGTACTAATTCCGCTTCTCTGCAACTGTAAGCGTGACCCATGCTAGGAGCTATGTTCCAACACACAACTGGCGGTGGTATCTGCAATATTAATTTATTATCTAGAGTTTCGTGATTTATTGCATTGTGGAATTGTAATCTAACAAGAAACAGAAGCGCTATTTCTATCTTTGGAATAATAATGAAACATTTCATGCCTCAAATCATCCTAATTACTTTACTATTCATGAAAGGTGAATTTTACTGCGAAAGCCGTTTATATATGATTTGGGTATTAATACGAACTTAAACCAAATAATTACTTTGATTTTAATGAAGACAAATACGAGTGTAGCCAATGTTTTAGTGCAAATAGTAATGGAACGTTGGTAGTTTTTTAATAAAAACATTACTACTCGTAATACGATTACTTTATACAGATTCTAAGAGAAATATTTGTGTTCCTAAAATGTAAAAATGTGTTTTTATGTTACGTTGGCGTTATAAAATATTTTGTAAGTAGAAATATTATAAAATTTTTAAGTTGAGATCTGTTGAGATAGCAGTTGTTTCTTTTCAGTATAAATGTTTTTGTAGTCACTTTTTTTCATTTTTGTTGTCAAAAAAATATTAACGTTTATAGAATAATTTAGCATTTTGGAATTTTCATGAAAGTGAATCAATATTATTTTTAATATTAAAGCAATGGTTTATTAAATTTTTTTTAGTGAATAAAGTAAAAAAACAACTTTATATATTTTTAATGGGCAACTTTTGCAACCAAAAAATGTGTTTAGTACGAGTATATAAAATAAACACTTTAATGGACGGTATTGGAAATGATTATTCGATTCATAATTTTATGACTTTTTATAAAAATTTCTCTCTCTAAACGTGTATTTTTAATTATGCCTCAAAACATTACTCCTATAAAACAAAATACCCATTATTAGGTACTTTTGAGATTTTAAAGAAATTTAGCAGTTTCATCTCTTTAAAATTTTTTATTAAATGCGCCATCTCAATCGCATTAAAAGATTTGTTTCCAGAAAGTATATTAAAAGAATTGGCTTATATTTTGGTGAAATTATAATTAATTAATTTGAGGACATTAATGCCGATTTTTTTGAATATATTAATTGAGGGCTTCTGTTTTTTACTGCATATTTACTCAAAATTGTGTAAGAAACAAACATTTCTTTTTGAAAAGTGCTGAAACTAAACTGTTTGTAGACATTGTTGCGGCGATTTATTTTAGTGCATAACTACAAAAACATGTTTTGAAGCAGCTGCTTTTATAATTCATAATAATTCAAATTTTTGTTGCAATTTTATTTTTTGTTATGAAGTAAGATGCGTTTTATTGGCATCTAATTTTTCTATTTATTTTGTGGTCACTTTCAGAGCTATTTAGAAATGAAAACTCATTGTTTGTAAATCGTGAAAAAGTTGCTTTTGAATCTTATATATTTAATAAAGGTTTAGTAGATTTATATAAGCTGAGACTTTATGAAACCGTGCAAATATTTACGTTGGATTATATTGTATCTAAACTTTCATAAATCTGCCCTGTGGTCAAATTATATCAAGAAATGTAATCTGTTTTCCGCAGATTCAGATTTATATTTTATTTTTGTTGGCAAATTACTAAAATCAATTAGGAATTGTAGTTATTAGTAAGCACACACGCATTAATGTAGAATGCGAAAATAAATTTCCGTCACGTTCTTTTTGTTTACACTGATTTAGGTGGGTATACACCTTTGTAAATATTATGAGTGTTATAAGCCGTAAAAAATCGGTTTGTTTTATATAAAAATAAACTCATTCAATTTATGCATAATTTCATAATTTGATAAGTTACTTGAACGTCGCTGATAGATCTAAAAAGCCGCGTAATTAAGCTCCGATTGTGCGACCGTCCGCTTTCAGGCTTTTCAGAGTTATTAATTTATAACCTATATTGAACAAATAAACCGCAACTTTGATCTATTACGTTACCCTGTGTTTCTCCCTCGGCGCTGTGTGATATCGTTTCCGATTTGGTGGATCAGTGGCAACTCTCGGAAAATAATTTCCTAAATTAATCATCTTTGACTTTGGACTTATTGCTGGCGTGCTTTGTAAACTTCTGTAGTGGAGAGGAGACGATGCTGAAATGGGACTTTGATGTAGTGTTGGTGAATCGGGTAACGGAGGTACTTCCGGAGGCTCTTCCGGTTCTTCCATTGTTGACGAACACCTCAACGTTGCATAGTTTGGTGTATAATAATTTCCCACAAGCGGTGATCGATACTGTTCGAAAGAAACAGACGAAGAATCTCCTGGCGCTTCTTGACTCACTGGAGTTGGGTGGCTGCTCTGAGCCGCGTTGTTACTCGATGACAAATTCATCAACAAATCCTGCAAATTTTTTTGATGTCTTTTGGAGTTTTATCACAGTCAAAAATGTGTACCTTCATGTTTATGGTGACACCAAAAGGGTTTTTAAGCAAGGTTGGCGACCCTTGCAGTTTATGTCTTTTGTTAAGTATTAAAATTATCACAAAAACTACTAAGAGTAATAATATTATTGCCGTTAATACACCTATGATTATTTCCACGTATGTATCACCTTCTTTGCGAGCTGCAACTAAGAGAAACCTTGAAAGTATGAAAAACGCTAAGAAACTCGCAAACTTACTTGTTTCAAAAGCATCCAATGTATTTCCACCGGCTGAACTAATTACAAGTTCGTTTTCACTAAGATCAAGAGTTTCCTCTTCGGAAATATTGAACGCGACAGGCACTGAAACACGTAGTCATCAGTTATTTTATGCAGCTCGTATGCAAACTCTTATTATGAGAGCCCTTTGTACAGATGGGTGAGAATGATAGTACACGTTATGGACACAACATACTAAAATCGCGTAGTAAGCGTTCTGAAAGCTTGCAAAAATTTTGTATGCTTATTTTTACAATGCAAATAATGCAGATGCTCAATTAAATAAAAACGTGACAGTTTTTCCTTTTAGTAGAAATTTATAGCGTTTTTCTTTTGCCGGCGTCGAGATTTTTTGCTTACGAGCTGGAATCCAGACTAATCAAAATTTTATTTGAGAGCTTTTTATTATTTGCATTAAAGGACGACTTGTTTTTATCTATCGAAACTTTGGGCAGTCATGCAGGATTTTTTCTGGAATTTTGTTGACAGAAGCTAAAAAAAATTCATGTTAAATTTACCAGAATCAAAGGCTACTTCGCTGAGCATCATCCAGCGGTCCGCGAAAAACAGACGCAGTTTGATGAAACGAGCGAGTCTTTGATGAAGATTAATGGAGACGTTCCGGGCATTTTCCAGCACTCGATCTGGCATGTATGAATAGGACAGTGTTGGGCCATTGTAGAAACGTCCTCCGATACTGAACATCACTTTCGCTTTGGAGAAAACCTAAAGGAAAAATGACAAGACAATCAAACCAATTACTTCTTTTTACGAACTAACCGATATATCAAAGGAGACACTGTTATTAAATTCGATTTAACAAAAAGTTTGAACAGCCCTAAAAGTTACTTTTCCTTTCTTTCGAGCACAATAATGGAAGATATTTATTTTTATTTTATATACATAATTAATTGAAAAAATTGGAGTTACCTAACCGGTTTAATTTTATTTTGTTTGGAAATGCAAGCAAAGTTGCTAAAGGCTTTTTTTATAGCGCACATAGTGAATTAGTATCCAGGAGGCAAATGCGTTTATATGCTCTGTAGTAAAAGAAAAAAAATCTGTAGCTTCCGATCGCTATGCATTAGTTAAAATATGTTAATTGATTAAAACACGAAAAAAGCTTTTTAATCCGATTGTATTATTTAACATTGCAGGTAGCTTTATTGATTCTGGCTTTTCTTTAAAGCATTGGTAAAAAAATGTAAAATCTGCTAATCCGATTAATTATAGACTAAATTATAGTAAYCAAAGTTTCTTAGGTAAACAATGAWTACTTTTTTATAATTTACTAATAGCTACAAAAGGTTTTTCGTCAACATTTGCATCAGCAAAATAATGTAATCTTTGTGAATAAAATGCTTTATCAAGAAAAATGAACTGCAAGAATGCTTTGTAACTGTGGAATTCGGTTTAGAACGTCTGATAGTGATGGGGTGAGAGATAATTTTATGAGAGCTACGGTCGTTTACGTTGCAAGGAGAGGGTGAGTAATAACTATAATAATTTTCGTTTCTGAGAAATTGTTCGCGATGAAGAAAATCTGAAATCTTAACAAAATAATACTTAGATGTATACGTTTTTTTAAGAGCAAGTATGTGTTATATGTTTATATAAAGTCGAAACTACTTTTCAGAAGTAGATCTCACTCACCTGAACATTTCTGCTAAAAAAATTATTTGTGAATAAATGAACTTCGCTGAAGTTTCTTATTTGATCAAATTCAAACGTAAGTTCGACGTAGCCATTAACACTAGTGTCATTCCTCCAAGCAATCCATCCATTACCTGAACATTAAATAATTGATTTATGTCAATAACGAAAAAAGCAAGATACCTTTGCCGTAGCCGATATCTAATCTAAAATTGTCGGCACCAAACTCGCCATCTACAAGACGACCTAAACCACCTTCTAATATCCCATCGTTGCGAGTACCATCATAAGAACTGTCATATAGTCCCTGAGATGGTTCTGAGCCTTCGGGAATGCTGTAGGATATAATTCCGCCTGTAAAGAGATTAGCTAAATATAATTAACGAAAATCAAAACTATCCAAATTAAAAATTTATTCGTATATACGATCTAAATTGATAAATTACGTGAAACAGCTAAATTAAGTGAAGATTTTAAGTACCAATGTTTAAAAACTACGGTTTTGATGTGCAATTGTGCATGTTAAAAGTTTGGAATATAATTCCTATTTTTGGCTAAACATTCATGAAAAAAAAATAGGTTAGTTGATTTTTTTAATTGCCTTTGTTATCCATTATATTTTTTTCATTTAGAAAAACTAAATAAATAAAAACATTATTGGGCTGACAAATAGTTATTTTTACATTAACTGCAAAACGCGTGGTTTCTTGACGCGGAAATTATGCCGTTTTTGTGTCAAAAAAACATTTGGGCATTAAAAAACAGCTTCATTAACAGTACCTAACAAAGTAATATCTAATCAAATTACCTTCCATGTGAAAAGTTGGAAAGTATGACATTTCAACTTCATTTAAAAATTGATATGAAATATCAGGTTTAGGTTAGGAAGTGGTCAGTTTCTTATCAGTTCAGGTTGAGAAGTGATTACTTCCTAACCCGAAAACTTATAACTTATAAGGAAGTAACCACTTCCCAACCTAAACTATGATTTGTCATGTTTTTCAAAGTTAGTTAGTTTTTTTATTGGTTTTCTGTTCTTTAAAGAAGATGATTGTGATTAAAATAGTATACAAACTTTGGTGGTCGTTGCCTGTTGCTTCATCGAATGTACAAGAGGTAAGTGGAAAAAGTCAATTAAATAAAAACGATGAATTTTTTAGAAATACCTTTTTTTTAAATAATGATTTAACGTTCTAAAAATATAAAAATCCTTTGTTTAAATAAAACTTTTCAATTAGCTTTTTGATAAAGTCTTGTTAGAGTGTGTATCAAATTTCCTAATACACAAGACTTGTTGTTGGAGCAAATTTTGCATCAAGAAATAAACTAACGACCAGACTTTGACGCTGTAATGTGTATTAAAAGATTTTCAAAAGAATTTTGTTGAAAAAATTTGCTTAAACCTTATAATTTTTCTCACACAGCGCTTAGCAAGATTTTTTATATTATTTTATGAGCTGAGTACAATAGTGTACGTGTTCACCCCAGGATGTGTATCCCATAACCTGTCAAGCCATTGATACGGTCAAGCTATAGATGGCCATGCAATAAGGGATGTCGATTGCATGAAGTAAACGACGAGAATGCCAGACTGGCTATAAAAGCAAAATATAATAAACCCTCTATATAGGGATTCTATTTTCCCTTGCCCGTCACGGTCCACCACATGGACCACTCGCAGTTTTAATAATAGATTGCCTCGACTCTATGATTTATCAATACATTCCTCGCCACCGGCGCAATGAAGTTCCCAATTCTATTTGGTATCAACAGAAAAAATTGTTTTATTGGAAGCACATTGGAACTACTGCCGGCAAAAGCGTTTCGAAATTCACCCCTCTATACCAAAAGCAAAAAGTTTCATGAAAAGTTACCTCACATATACAGTTTGCAACACCGTTTCATATCCAATGAAATTATTCAATTAAATAAAGTTTTCTTAGTATTTTCCCATATTTTGTCCAGTGTGAGACTTAAATGAAATTTATGCGAATTTTAGTTGCCAACAATGTCAAATAAAATTTAAATTTACCAACTGTTACAGAATTACAGCAGCTTATTTGTCTCTCCGTAGGAATGTATGAATTAAATCTTACAGTGTGTAGTTTTTAGTTTTAATAGTAAACATAAATGCATCTTATATGCAAATACAATTGGGAAAATACAGAAAATTTTACTATCTTATTATTTTATAAACATTTTCCTCGAATTAAAAACATAGAATAAACTGTATAAACGGTTATACAGTTTAAACTTTATTCGGAAAAAAGCAAAATATTCGTACGTAAAATAATTACAAAACTGGTGAAATCGCTTTAACTGTGGAGTTTTTTGTAAAAGTGCAATATCACGATTTTATTGCAATTTTAGTGTTGTAATCGTGACGCATGAAAAATTTCAAATAGTACATACAAAGCGCTTGAAGTAAACTTTGTTTTTTTGTTTTTTTTTTATTTTGAAAAGGTTTCGCTTTATGTGGAATAAGGAATGAAACAGTTGCACACGTAACTAGGCAATCTAATTCTTATTTAGCATTTTAATAGTAAGAACGAACTGTATTGAAGTGCAGGTAATTAATTAATTTTGAATTACTTAATTGAGACAAAATATAAAGGTTTGAAGAAATTCTTTATTTAATTTCAACAATAAAAAATAAATTGTAATTAATATTCAGTGTATATTTCAAAATGATTTTTATTTCGCCAACAATTTATTATTATGTACCTAAATTATCAAATGCCGCTTTACAAAGAGAAAAAATTGTTATTTACTATATCTACAAGACGATAAAGAAATTGTTTATTCAGGAGTGAAAAGGTTAAGTTTACGAGTGACGAAGTCACGAGTGGACTTTTTTCACGAGTAGACAACAATTTTTATCGTCGTGTATAATATTTCGTTTTATTTTGTACACACCTACCAGAATTTCTTGAATATAAACAGTAGATTAAAATTACTTTATTTCACTAGACAATAAAAGACTACTTTATCTACTAAAATTAGTTGATAAAATCACTCTTTAACATTGAGTACAAAATAAAAACACTTTTATGATTATTTGAAAATTGAACGATATTTAGTTTAAACCCTGTATAAAAATGGCATAAAAATTATATTAAAAGGTAAAGCAGTGCCCTGTTTACCCAAGATCAAAAGTCTACTTCAACTGTCTAAATACTTTTTTATGAAAGTTCTAGAAAAATTTGGGTTAAGATTTTATTTTTCAAAAAATACTTTTAGAATTCAGTTTTACTTGAAACATTTTTGCTTTGATTAAATTTGAATTTTTAATTATAAAACTTAAAATATTTTTTCTTTCTAATGTTAGAAGTTAGAAAAAACAGACTGATGAAAATATTTTATATAAGTACTCGTAGTCGTTCAGTATATTAAAAGTATAGATTAGATAGAAAGTGAAAATAAAGCGAGCATTTAATTTTCTAAGGTCTGTTCAAACTAAATTAAAACAGTTTTAATTTAAACGTTATTCTGCAGGCAGTTGGACAGATTTCGTATAATTGCATGCAATAGGACGGTTGTAAACGTATATCACGGCAATCACGACTCCTTGTGCGAAATCTAATTAAGTCGAGTTTTGCCCGTTGTATGCAAGAAACCGAATATTGAGTAACTAAGTGCGTCGCGATTATGTCTACCTAATCCGTATTATCCGAATTAGAACGATAATTCAGTTTGAGAGTGGGCGACATCTGGCTTGGCCCTTCATCTTATTTTGTTAGTGTTACAGACGTCGCTTATTTAGAAAATCGTCTTTCGAGATCGCATATAGAATTTAATTAAGAGGGTGTTTATCGGTGCAGATGTGAAAATTTCAATGCTGCTAGCTTGAAAGTAATTAGTCCACGAATGAATTATGGGTAATGGTTGAAGATGATAATGAAATAAGCGCCGAGAAAAGCTTCGTCATTTTAATGGTATTAACACCTTAAGAGATTAATAATTCACTAACATCTAAATTGCAATAAACTAAATTCAGCTTAACGAGCAGGCATCAAATTAAAAACACAGATAGCATTTAAATTATTTCAACGAAGCAGATAAGTTGTGTTTGTTTTTTTCACAAAATTTCAAAATGTGTAGGTTTTGTTTGTAAAAACTGGAATTATGCTAATATTTCCTTTTTTGTAAAGTTTGTTTAGAAATTTTGCTTTTCTCTCCATTTTACAAAGATTATTTGGAATTAGGCAAAACGTGACTGTTGATATTCAACATCGACCAGAACGTTACAGTAGAATCAATGATCACATATGGCATAACCAAGTATGACACAAGCAAATTAGTTTTGGCATCCCAATTGTAGTAGGTCATCAGTATGAAATTCAGTTGGGGTGCATATTATATGAAATTGGTATAATTTCAACGTACCTATAAAACCGCAACAGATTAAAACTACAGAGGACGTCCAGTTTTGAGAGAAAAAGCTGTTTTATTATTAAAAAGGTTGAAACCTAATTTTTATTCAGCTTAATACCCTAAGTACACCTCTTTGAGGTTACTCCATCTATTTTGCTTAAATGTAAATGCACTAAGTTTTGTTTATTATTTATTAAATTAAAGAAAATTTATCCAAATGCGTTCGCATCTAACAAAATAATAGCAATTAGAGTTCTACAAATTACCTTAACAATAATTTAGTCATACAGAAAAGAACTTTTCTTTATTTTGTTAAAATCTGTGTAAAAAATATTGTTGCTGCGCTCGCATGTATGCCTGCAGCTCATACGTAATTGTCACATATTTTATAATCTGCTTCCTCTTGCATTAAATTTCATAAATTCCTTTAATTTATTTAAAATTACATCAAAAATTTAAATCCGTTTTTACGCACAAAGGTTTTCCGTTATCCATTTATTGAGAGTCATTTAAATATTGTAGTATTTCATTTTACAATATAAAATTATTTTTGCTTTTTTATTCAAATTTCGAATTTTAGCCACAACTGTTCTATCAAAGAATACTCGTAGTTGTTACATTTTTGACATTTCTAATAACAGCCGCATAGCGTTATTCCGGTAATTACCGGTAGTTTTTTCACGAATAGCATTATGCAGGTGTTACACCAATTTTGCGTGACCATTGCAAAAACTTCAAAGTGTTTCAAAATGTAAAATAGATTAGTCTGCTGCAAATTAAAAATTATAAAGTAAAAAAATAATTAATGTGTGCGAATAATTTAAATAATTGTGTTGATTTGAAATTGTATCCTCTCTTTAACATGTGAGATAACAAGGGGTTGCGAATTAATTATGATGTTAAAATTTGATCTTATACAGTGGTGGTCTACATCTAAATCTGCTGTAATTACAGGTGACTTGTATTACACAATGGATAAGAATTTTGCACTGCTTGAAGTTACTAAAATGGAGACTGATAGGTAATGTTTAAATCATAGCTGCGAATTGACACTCTGCTTTAGGGTTCGTAAGCCAATAGCCTATTCGGCAACAACGTGACTGTCTTGTAAACTATTCATGAAATGTCACTCAAAGTACTATTTCCCTATTAATTATGGATAAGTTAAGTAGTGGATCACACGCCGTGGTCTCTCCGAGATGTAATCTACCGTCTACAGTAAGCGCTGCTCTTGACACTGATTAATCGCAATCCTGCTATATTATAAAGAGGTCATTTACATGCCCTACGCTGAATTTTCCTGCTACTTCAACCAAATAAATTGAAGTAGTTTTTTAGTATAAGTTTTTTGGTGTAATTAAAGGCAATGTTAGTTAGTGTACTAAAAGATCAATAAAAATTTCACTTCACCTTCATACGGACATCCCAGAAGTTCAATTCGGAGGCAAACAGTTCTCCTGTGGACACTGTAGGGCAGAATTCGCACTTTGCTTGCGAACACTGGAGGCATTAAACGCTGACTTTCCACAGAAGCGGTGTCACTATTTCCCCGCAATATCTGAAAATTTAATTGTTTCAATTATAATTCCGAATTTCTGCAGCTTCTGCTGGGTGGCCAAAAATAACTGCGTAAGTTAGCAACAAAAAATTAAAAGCATTTTCTCTCAATATCAAGCTATGAACAACCGAAAAATAAACATTTTCAATCAGTCGGTAGGTAAGATAAGATGCATGTACTATAAAATCTAGTTACATAAACAAAAATTTAAATAATTCTTTATTGTAACAGTTCGCAAACTTTCTGGCTAGCTTTTAGGTACATTTATAAACTCTACTTTAAGTTTTGTTGACTTTTACTTTATATTTATTTACCTATGTGGATAGCCTAAGAAATATCGATTTGGTATTGTAAAACTTTAATAATGTTTGTTCTGCACTTTTAAACTTTTTATTTGAGCTTTGGTTGTTTATATTTCCTATATTACAAAAGAAACAAATTGTGTAAGATTTTGAACTTGGATTGAAAATGCTAAATCGGTGTTGGCAAGTGATTAGCCTTTAATTTTTTTAACCCTGTGAATATTCGGTCCAATATTGTCTAAAATTAAAGTCAAAAAGTGAATTAGTAGAAGAGTGAAAAACATTTCACTAGAGACGTGGTTTTTATAATCTTTTTAGCTGCAGTGATTATGTTTTGAAAGGTATGTTTTTGAAGATAAAACTTTTCCAATTTGTCTAGAAAAGTGTATCCTTTAATCCCAACTTAAATTATGTTAAAGCTTATTTATAATTAAATCTAAAAAATTTGAGATAAGTCTCTGTCTATTCAATTTTCTCATATTCCCATAACATGCATAACTGGAGCAATGCTATTTTCAGAAGAATATAATTCTTTTCTTGACATTCCTGTCACGGATGGCTGAAGTACAAAAAATGTAACTTCTTCTAAAGAACGTCTGCAATACAGCCGGAATAAGAGTCGTATTTAAACGATATCATCGTAAGTATTGTGTTTGCTGACAGACAATCAGATGAGATTAAAGATCTGGAAATATCTGAGGTTTCTTTGTGCTTTGCTGAAAGCCTATTGTGTTTTTAAAACAAAATGATTCAAGACGATTTTTTCGGTTTACAGATAATATTTATAAATAATAGTATATTATTCAACGAGCATATAATGATGGCTGTTATTCACGAAGATGAAGTTTAAAAAAAACTCATAGAAGAGTTTTTTAATCACCTGAGTGAATCGTAGCCATAATATGCGGGTAGAATACTATGCCTTGTCCACGACTATAAAATATTTTCGATTTTTGGTATTGACAAAGTTGATGTTTGGGAGTTGACGTTTTAATTTAATTAGTAAAAATGTCAAATTGCGTATAAACTGTAGGCCATACAGGGAAGGATTGCCATTATGAATTTATATTAAACGGACTGTAATATTAAGTGTCTATAGATACAACTTTAATAACGTTATAATTTAAAAGTCGTAGATAAAATTGATTTAATTTACAACCACATCCACTGAAACAGTTTTTTTTTATTTTCCCTTATACTCGTATTAACTGCAAATTATAAAACCGTTCAACTGTTCGCTTACGTTACGTTGAAATTTTAATTGACGGTTATTGAGTACGATAATTATGACTAATTAATTATTGTGAGCTTTTCATTTCAATAAATTTTTAAATGAAAAGTAAATCAATGTTGTAGTTGCAGTTTTAAATAATTCTCTACAGGGTGATTCACGAGGAATAATGAGCCTGACCAAATTTTCGATGCAACCAACATTACAGTTGTCGCAAAATAACTTGCGAAGAGTAATGGTCGTTGCATCGAGAATTTGGTCAGGCTCATTATTCCTCGTGAATCACCTTGTATGTACTTATGTATGATATAAAGTCTGTTTTTTTAAATGAAAATGTCAAGCAGTCTTAACATTGGCACCAATAGCAAATTCATTCATGGTAATTTTAATAAAGAAAGTTGTCGGTTCCGGTTTTTGATTAATTTGAAAACAATGTCTTAAATGTCAGTACAAAAAATATTTAAGAAAATTCAGAGACGAAACACAAGAATTGGGAGAAAATTTGGTACCGCTAACAGTTTTATAAAAGGAGACAAAAAGTTTGCAAGCAGGGAGTCAGTCCGTTAAAATGTAGAGAGAATTTGTAATGCAGGTTTACTAAACATTCTCAATTTTTAGCAAAAAATACAAAATGAATGAGAAAGAAAGCAATTGATTAGTGTCTGTTTGTACCCTTTTTGAGGTACAAGTTGAAAAAATAACAATTTTGAAACTAAAACTGAAGAAGAATTTAGAACATTCACGAACTTTGAGTCAATTTCAATAAATTACACAGAATTTATTGCCAATTTTCATAATACCTGCTTGTATCTGCTGCAAAATAACTTTTTTTTGTATATGCACCTTTTCTCATTAAAGTTTTTGTAGCAAAAAGCTCATTTGTTAACAACATTGTACTTACTTGCGGTATGTTTCTATCAAAATTATTAGCACTGAATTCTGTCTTTAGACCTTAGGTAATGGTGTCTGTCTTCAGCTATTCGATTATAATGCTTTCAAAGAGCAAACAGGCACAAATAATTTATATAAAATTTATAAAAGTTAACACACTTTAGGTTCAAATGTGACTTTAGGTTCAAATTTCTATACGTAGACACATGACACAGTGCTGATGTATCGTAAAATACAATTTAGATCAGTTTTGTATTTTGTGAGATTATTGTCAACAAGAGTCCAATCTCAAAAATGAGTGATTGTGTGTCATAAATGTTAATGAATTACGATAAAAAATCAAATTATCTGAAAAAGTGGAACAAAATACAATTCTCCAGAATTTTACTTTGCGGGTGATTTGTTTCGAAAATATGTTTAAATGCGCACTTTTAGTATAAATTTTACAGACTTTACTTTTCTTTTACGAGTAATAAAACTAAGTGTTATTGTTTTGTTTGTGCAGCGGATCTGTAACAGTTTAAAATTCAGAATTCGTCCCTACGGTATATCAACTAAGAAATAAGTTATGGTTCATAAAAGAAAAAATAAAATATTATGACACTTCAGGTTAACAGTGCTTTATTCAATTATGGAGTTGTGTGTTGGGTTAAATTTAAAAGTATTTTTTAAACTTTGGCGTTGTTGTAAAAGCCATAAATCAGAGAACATTTCAGTATTATTAATGTAATTTTGTTGAAACTTAAAAGAAATGTTATATGTACTTCTATGTAAAATAATTAACAACAATCTCTTACATTTAATTGATATCATTTTTTATCTAACTGTTTTTGTCTGAAAATTGTACAGGGTTAGTCATCATTAGGTGTAATTTTTTAATTAGATCTTCTCAAGGCCAAAACAAAGCAATTAATCCTAATATAATATAATATAGGTTTACTATGAAAATGAGGCTAATTCTTTTTCTGTTTTATAAAAATAAAATTGTTTTTAACACTACCTTTTTAAGAAAGCATTTTATTACTAAATTATATAAAAGTTAATTGCTTTGTTTTGGCTTAAAGAAGCGCTGGTAAAAAAATTAGGTACCCCTAATTATGACTCTACTTGTGACTTTACATGTAGTGGGTGTAAGAGGTAGAAATGAGATTTGAAACACCTATTTTCATTACCTGTATTCACATTTTAATATTTTCTAAACAGATTTATTAAAATATTCCGTTTGTGGTAGACGCAACTGAAAACATGCTTGTTTTAGATTTCAAGATAATTATTATACAAATAAAAATAAAAACCAACAGAGATGAATGAACTTGAAAGGTTAATTCCTTCAAAATTTTCGCCATTTGCGGGCAGATTAATTAAAGTGTCAATAAATGCTAAGTCTATTAGCAACAAAGCAGTACTCAACGTTCACACTATGAAGGCCGGGATTTGAATTACTAACATCTACTAAATTACTTGTGCATACATCTGAAGTCAAACATTCTATTATTTTCAATTAGCAGCTTACACGTTTATTCACAAGAATTACTTAATTCACATAGAACAAAAGGGAATTTCTAAATTAAAGAGTATCAGTCGATAGTGATGAAAACGCTTTATGAAGTTTAAAAAGATACAAAAAACAAATAATTGTGCAGATACCGTAAACAAAATGCTAATAATGACCTGTGATGCCAAGATAAAACGGCAAGTTTGTGTATCGGAATCATGAATATCTCGTTTTGAAAAAGGGAATCGTTTTTGTGCTGATATCCAGACGCATTGACCCGTGCGACGGTCACTGATGGGACGGCTGATCACGGATGTTTCCGCAAACTGACTCGAAATTGACTCGTAACGATCAGAATATTTGCTTGCGTGCTGCTTTGATAGTTGGCGATTTGTGGAAGTCACCGTTTGATACAAACAATCAAGATAAAAATATGTGCTTTGCGTGGGCACAATTGCATTTGCTTTCGTATCCATAATATTAATTGGTTATAATTTGTAATAGCTGGAAGACGAAATGTGGTTACGAAACGACTTCATCTCTAACAGCACTTTCCTTTATGTCCACCGATACGCTCTTGAATAATTACCAACATTAAAAAACTATATTTAGATTTTAATTTTACATCTCCCCTAAATGATATATACTACTTATTTCCACTCAGTTAGAATTATTATTGCTAATTATTATAATAGGTAGTTGCTCTACCTATGTAAAACTATTTTTTTTTATGAAATCACTTATTTTACAAACCAGAAATTTTTCAGACAAATAAGGTTGTCAAAGTTATGTTAAAATTCTTTTGACACCCATTTATACCAACTTTTCAATCGGTGATCAATGATCCTTTCATTAGTTAGTCACTTATTAGGAAATGCCAAATTTTCCGAATGAGTTAGTAAACTGTTTTTGTAAACCACTTTGAGTTGGAATACATATTGTATTTTGATATTACCTTAGCTTATATCTACTAAAATAGTAATAAAGTAATTAAAATATTGCTACAAAAACAAAAATTAAAACAACAGGTAAATTTTTTAAATTAATTAAAAAGTAAAAGAATTAATGTTTAGGAATTTTATAGAATACAAAATGGTTCTTCAAATTCTGTAGAAAGTAAAAGTATTTTCTTTTTTAAGATGAATCTACTTTTCTACCCTTTAGAATACAAATGCTTAAAAGCAAATTTAATATTTTTGACTGATTTATAGCTTTAAATGTAATTAGAATGATTTCGAGAAAGAGAAACGCTTTAATATTAAAAATGTAGGTACTCTCGGCTATAAATGAATGGCTTAAAAGTACGTGATTATTTTACTAATTATTTTTAAAACAAGTATTGTTTGTGTTATATTCCAGCGTTTTTTATTGATTGTAAAACGATTTTATTTATTTATTGCAAGTGTAAATGGTGGATGCGCCGGGATATTGAAGTTTTTAATTATTAATTAATTAACTTGTTAGTTCGTAAACACACTTAATATTATATTTCAAAATTAATAATACTTTGCGTGCCCAAACATTTAAAGTTTTACTTCACGAAACTCGTTAAACTCGTTGATTTTTCATTCACGAAATAACGTAGGTTAAAATAATAATCACTCAAAAATTGGTAAATCATCAAAATACGTCTGTCGTTTTATGTGCGTAATAAAATTGTAGAATATGATAACAAAAATAAAATAATAAATCAAAAAACAATTTATTTGAAATAATTGTGTACGGGATTGTAACGCTTTTTTAATACTCATCGTTTTTGTGTGAGTTTACAAAACTAAATCAAATATTTTGTTATTGAAAATAATTGTCACCTGTTTATTATCCCATCGCTTGTATTCCTTCCATTCATTTAAACCCGGCCGCCAATATTCAACCGTGTACTCTTCGGCATATTCTTGACCTCGACCTCTATCATACCTCCCTTGAGTTTGTACTCCCGTGACAACGTGAACCTCCCCCAAATCTACTTGTAGATATTCTCTAATTCCTCTTTCCACTTGTTGTTTTGGACACCATCCTCCCCCTGCTTTCTCTACCCGAACTCTGAAAAAGATTAATGATAAATCAATGAATACTTCCTTTAAAAATTAAAGGTAATAAAACAGATAAATTTAAAGTTTCGATGCCTTCTGAATTAGAAAACTTTTAAATCAATTGAAACTACTGGGAAAACAAATATCAAGTAATGTTTTGTTATGCTCAAATATTTATTGTGTTAGAGTGGTATTGAAGTACTCTCATATAATTTGCTTATTCATTAATAGTCTTTAATCATTCTGTACAAAAATGTCTGGCACAAGAAAAATTACAAGCGTCACTTTACGAGTAAAACAGCAAAGTCGATTATTTATTTATTGAAATTTGGAACTTAATCAATATGGTATTTCGATGAAATTTTATGTGCGTTTTATGAGAGGTATTTTTGGTATCGCTGTGTCAGGTGCAAGCAATGATACACAAGCAGCGTAGGCGAAGTCTCTGGAGAGAAATTAGACAAAATTCATGAGAGGAACACTGAAATGTCCTACATCCTGAAGGGAAACAAGCTTCTCTGACTAATGAGAACTAAAGCCCGGTCCCAACGCGTTAGAACGGCTCTCTCGACTAATGGAGTTTTAAACAACTTATTGGTCCATTACGGGTTATTCTGCATGCGCTGCTTACCAATTATCGCTGCACCCGATGCAGTAGCTGTATGTTTACTGGAAATTGTGCCCTCAATTGTGGCTAGCCTATTTTCTAACCCAGTGGGAACCACTTAACAATTTGTGGCTAAACCGCTGAACTACATACATTGTTTGGAACGTTAATCGATGATTCAATTGTTGGCTATTGAATACCAATTACTAAAACGTGCACTTTAATTTACTTATTACACAAAAAAGCCTAAGTTGCGATAAGAATATAAATGTAAGAGAGGAACTGTTAATTTTAGTTAACAATTTTTAGATGAGTAGTTACGAAGCATTTTAATGGTAATAGTTTTCTAAGAGGAACAACTGTGTTGATTACAGTTAGTAAAAGCAATTGAGCCTGGAATCCTTCTTATCTTTATTAGCCTTTATTCTTTTATAGTTCCTAACTTTGTAGAACGAAGGGATTTAGATAAAGCTAATCTTAAACTACTTTAAATGTTCATATATTGAATTTTTATTACACGAAAGAACATTTGAGGCATGTTGAGTAGAGATATTAGAAAAATGTTTATACAAAATGCTCCAGTTAGTGTTTATCGATGAAATCAAATACGTTTTGAAATTAATGTCATTTTTATGCAAATTGAATATAAATATTGAAAGTAGGGTAACGCATGCAATCAACTATTTTACTTGCAAGTGAATAAATGCTTTAAATAATTGTACTTTGTAACTTAGTCATTCGTTAATGCAACATTCATTTTATATTTTTTGCAATTAGAATTGCATGCAATTTAAGAAAACTGTTAACTAATTTCTTTATCAAAAAATTTCACTATTTTTACATTTTCTTTTACTTCATTTCTTTTGCAAAACAAAACAATAAAATAAACAAAGCTTTTGTTTATTATTCAATTTGTTTTAGTATTTTTATACTTTACAGTACTATAAGTGGTGTAAGTTTATAGTGTTCATTGTTGTATTATATTCTGGCAAAAAAGATTAAAAGCGATAGATGATAAAATATAATTAATAAATAATTATACAAGTAAATAAAAAACTCTGTTCTGTAATGTTTGACAATTTTTTGGTGTACATGTAAAATAAATACAATTCTTATTGTTTAAACTTGTAAATGAAGAACATCAGACTATTAATCATCTCTAAATGCTGTGATTTTAACCGGGTATGATTTCATCGCCACAAAGTAAGTAGAACAATAGATTTGTTATTAAATTGGTGAAATTATGTTATAATAAAATTGTGAAACAATTTATTTGATGATAACTGATAATGATAAATCTACTATTTTGAGAACGGAGTTTCATTAATCTGAATTTGAAACAGATTTTATTTAATTACAAATATTTTTATATATGTAAAAAGAGGTTATATGTCTTTATTTTTATTTTAATCATTTAAAATTTTTTAATTGGTACTGTTTTACCTAAGAATACATTCATAAAATTAAATAAACGAAATAAAAATTAATGTTCAAAGACAAACCTTTTACAAAATGCCTATATAATACATCAATAGACACAAGGCAACTTTCATTAGGGAGACGACTTTTCCGGATTAATAAATTTGTTCGTATTGTCAAAATGAGCATATTTACTAGTAAAGGACATTATAAGACATATAACGGTGAAGAAAACAGAAATTATTTAATTATTTAGTCAAAGAAGGGTCTGAACTGTTTTTGAAATGCTATGTTAAAGACAGGTTTTAGAAATATCGTCTTTTTACATTTTATTGTAACACATAAATTAACGTAGACTAATAGGTCCTTTAGGTATTCCACTTCTACGTTATTATAGTAGCGTAAGTAGAGAATTGTACAAATGCCTTGTACGTGTTAGTATTTATCATTTTGTAAGAGCAGCAAAACAGTCGTTGTTTTAAATATACAGGGTGAGTGTGTCAGAACTCGCGGTCCAGAGAAACATTTTAAGTAAGATAAGATACCAAGAACATGAAAAAATGTTTAAAAAATTCTCTCTCCCAAAAAAATTTGACATTTATTTTTAGCGTTATACATTTTTATATACTGATCTTCTATATACATATGTTTTTTTTTTATAATTATTTAGTAAAGGTACAAAAATTTTGGCAATAAAAACTACAAATAATATTAAACAGTGTTACAATTCAGGATACAGCTTCCTTGTTTCCTCTTCTGATAACCTGTAGCAAAAAATATTTTTTCAACAGAAATAAATAGAGTCAAAGTACAAAAGTGCGAAATTTTTATAGATAGAATTTTTTTAACATTTTCATTTTTCGCTGGGACGCAAGTTCTAATGCACCCTGTATGAATAACAAGTTGCACTGCTTTTATTTCTCGTGTTTTGTCAAAACAAATGTGTCATTTTTGTTTTTGTAAGACAGTTGTTTTTTTGTTTCAAGTTCTGTTCTATTAATCAAAGATTAATTAGCTAACCGTTGGCAAGTAACTGTTTGCTGTGGATGAAGACTAATCCGGTTTTCAATTGACAAATGATATCCAATTCGGTCGTTAAAGGGGAGTAGATAATTTGGAAGAAAGCTTCGAATAGTCAAAAGCCAATATTGTATCTCATTAGATTAAGTAGCTTCTTTAAAAGCAGAGCAAAGGACTTATTTTTGTTTCCGCATGAGCGCCGAATCCGTATTCAGCAAGTTTAGATCTTAATAACATCATGAAGGCAGTGCCAGTGTAGGAAACGGCCGGAAAAGTCAATGGTTATCCTAAGATTCCCGTAATATTCGCGGTGGAGTTACCGAAGGACCTTAACTACTTTGTAACGGAGACAATGAAGGAATTTGCAGAGCAAAACAGAACAGAACGGAATGCCCGTACATATTTCTCCATGTCGAGTCGCATTATCACTCCCGGCAGATTCAAGCGTCTTGATTTACTGCGTTGGTCGAGAATGCACTGTGGGAGAAGGCTGCTTCAGGCTGGACATATCTGTGCGGTCTCGGAGGACACCGAGTAGGCTTTTCCAGGCCACTGTGTTGGATAAACTACGGTCCTCTGTGCTTATCCGAGCCAATATTTTAGCTTTATTAGAATTTGCATCCATTCAGATTTTTTGCTTGGATTTTTTTGAATCACGCCCTGGAGATAATTTTTACCTATCTGTACAAACATTTGAATATTCCTATGCACTGGGCTGTTGCATTTTATGCTTATTCTAATTAATCCCAAATTTTTGTTTTGAAAATAATAATTGATTTTTCATTTATTCCGGCTTCTACAATTTTCGTCAATTATTAAAATAAATAAACATAAATAAATTATTGATGCCGACGTCTACTAAGTCTTTTTACAAAAAAATCTTAAATTATTTTTATAACGGGTATTTTTTTTTAATTTGGCGTCAAAGCTATCCATGAAAGTTTGATTGTGAACGAACCATCCTATTGAAAGTTACTAATTTGACATTTGACAGCTCACCGGACGTATTAAAAATTGTAGTCCGTTCGCAACACATTCATATCACCGCCAACTGTGACGCCAAAATTAAATTAACAGCGTTTATAAGAAATTAATAAATCGACACTCCCAACGAAAACTATAGTAACTCAAAAATTACAATTTTGAGAAAAATTGCATTGAATCTTTAATTGTTAAGAACAAATCAAGGAATTGTTTAATATTATTGAAAACTGCTAAGGGTCTATATTTAGGTAATATTGTTTATTCAAAAAAATGTTTTCTCGTTGTTTTTGTATTTTGGGCCCTACATAAGCCATCGTACGCGAAAACCAATTTTTATGAGTTACTATAGTTTTCGTTGGGAGAGTCGAAATGTCGTAAAGTAGGTAAACTTTTGCCACTAACGTCTTTACTTAAATTTGAAAATATTTATTACATATTCGTTCAGATAACTAACAATTTATTAAGGGTAAAAGAAGAAAACATAAAAATCGATTAAAACAAATTAAAAAAATACATCAAATAGCGCTGCAAATATACGAGTATGATTTTATTTTCTTTTGTAAATCTAATTGTAAACTGCAAACAAAAATCCTAGAAGTAAATTAATGTAAAGAAATGTTACTTTATTTTAATTTTATTATTAATGTCATTATTTAAAAATTAATTTTAGGAAATTAGATCATTTATTGTCGTTTACTTTTTTATCGCAAAGATTTTATTTTTATTCAAGTATGTTTGTTGATACTAATATACTAATAATTAAATTGACATTTGAGTTTTTTCCGAAATCGTTCAGTGGCAGCCTGTTATTTTTGAGGGCCAAGTGTAATATACAATTTTTGATTGTTTATATTAGACAGAATCAACAAACTGGGCAAAACTTCTAAACGTTCCAATTTTTTGTTTTATCGGTTTAGACAAGTTTCTTGGAATTAACTCCAACAAGTGTTTTTGTGTAATTGTTGTGTTTGGATAAACTCGAGATGTAGGTGATAAAAATAAAACAAAGACAGTTTCTTCAAGTTAGTCCATTGATTTGGAAAAGGAAAATCGCTCACTTTTTTGTGAAACAGAAAAATAATTTTTTCTATTTCGGTGTTAGAATAGGTCTATTCCAGCACCCAAATGACGTCATTTGCGTGCTGGAATAAGTCGTTCGCGGTAACTTAATTTTAGTGACGGACTTTCTTCACAATTCATTTTCAAATGCGAAAATAAGAATAATTTTTATTTTTTACAGCCGCCTAAAATTTTAATTTTCGTTTTTTAAATTATAAAATGATATAAAGCGGCGAAATAGAAAAAATAGTATAAAGCACTTGTTGTAGAAAGTTCTTCAAGCACTCATTTGTTCCTCAACTCGCCGCTTCGCGGCTCGTTTCGAAATTTCAAATTTGTGTTTGGATAGACACCTTCTGCAACTTGTACTTTAATATACTATTCTTCAATTTTTTATAATATTTTTCTGTAGGTTAACCACAGGCAGGACAGATTTTTTACCAAAAGTTAACTGATTAAAGGACTAATTAACTAATTGGCTTGTTATGTCAAATAAAGAACGATTCGCCTTGTTAACGACCGACAAGACCTTAAAATAATTTGTTATTTTTACACGCATTTAACAACTTTAATTGGACATTCCAAAAAAAATTATACATTTCAAAAGGATCCATTCTCAATAACTTTTGACATTGAGTAAATGTATTTTTAAACAAAAACAGGTCGATTAGGATCCCGAGGGAGAAGTTGAAAACCAACATTAGTTACATTTTAATTTTTATCCCCTACTCCCTAGCCTCCCCTACTTTGAAATTTTAAATGGCACCCCCTACTTTTTACTTTTTTTTGACAGTTAGATACGCTCATTTACTCCCTTTCTGAAAATGTTTCAGTAAGTACTGGGTGCAATTTAAAATTCTAAGGTAGGGGTGACTAGCGACTAGGGGATGAAACCTAAAACGTATTTAATGTTGGTTTTAAACTCTCCCATCGCTACCCAAATCGACATATTCTTTATTTAAATTAAATTGAGTTCAATCAAAGGCTACTAGAACTAAAAATTTCAAAAATTAAACCACCCCTAAATGAAAAACAAATCGACAAAAAAATTTTTTCTTTGACATTTAAAGACGCTGTTTTTTTCTTTTTCCGAAAACGTTCTAAAAAATAGGGGGTGCCATTTAAAATTTTAAAGTAGGGGTGGTTAGCGACTAGGGGATGAAACTTAAAATGTAACTAATGTTGGTTTTCAACTTCCCCCTCGGAATCCTAATCGACCTGTTTTTGCTTGAAAATACATTTACTCAATGTCAAAAATTATTGAGACTGGATCATTTTGAAATGAAAGCCCTGTATATAATTTTGTAGTGTTTTGCTACTTTACAGGCCAAATTTTACAGAAGGACTCTAATAAAAAAAAATAAAAAATAAAAATATAGGAATGCAACTTTCATAGATAATTTTTATTTTTTTTCTGACAGAAAGTAAAGTCTGATCTTATATGAGGTGTCAGAACTTGCGCCGCAGAAAAAAAAATTCAAACAGATAAGATACCAGAAACATGGAAAAAATGTTTAAAAAATTTTTTGTCAATAAATTTTGACATTTATTATTGACATTTGACATTTTTTTATTTAATGTTCATTTTAATGATACTGTTGTTCTTGTATATGTTTTTATAATTATTTAGTATAGGTATAAAAATTTTGCCAATAAAAGCACAAATAACATTACAGAGTTACAATCTAGTATACAGCTTCCTTGTTTTCTCTTCTAATAAATAGCCTGTAGCAAAAAAAAACTTGGACAATTATTTTTCCAACAGAAATAAATAGAGGCAAAGTGCAACATTTAAACTTTCATAACGTCGAAGTTTTTATAGACTGAATTTTCTTAACATTTTTTCCAAGTTCCTAGTATCTTACCTTACATGGCATTTTTTTTTGGGGTGCGAGTTCTGGCACACGCTGTATACAGGATGCGCCAGAACTCGCGCCCCAGAGAAAATTTTCAAGCAAGGTAAGATACCAGAAACATGAAAAAAATGTTTAAAAAATTCTATCTGTCAAAAAATTTGACATTTATTTTTTGACATATGACATTTTTCTATGTCTATTTAATGATACTGATGATCTTGTATATGTTTTTTTACAATTATTTAGTAAAGATACAAAAATTTTGCCAATGGAAGCCACAAATAACATTGAACAGAGTTACAATTTAGGTCACAGCTTCCTTGTTTCCTCTTTTAATAGCCTATAGCAAAAAAACTTGTAAAATAATTTTCCCAACAGAAATAATTGAGTCAAAGAGCAAACTTTAAACCCTCATAACTTCGAAATTTTTATAGATAAAAATTTTTCAACATTTTTTCCATGTTCCTGGTATCTTACCTTATATGGCATTTTTCGCTGAGGAGCGAGTTCAGGCGCACTCTGTATACATACATAGATACATTATGTATTATTACTAGAAGACAAGCTTATAGAACACTGTAGAATTATGTAAATTTTAAACGTAAAAATTGACAAAAACATTCGCGAATAAACGAGAACTGAAATAAAAAATATTCACAGAAGCCGAAAATGCGATTTGGATCTAAAGTTTTTTTAAGCAAAAATGAAATAAATCCAACACCCTATTTTGATAACTGTATTGGAGCAATTACTGTATGTCTGTACTAAACTTTACAGAACTTTTGTTAAATCATCTCAGTTTATTACAATTACCTATTAAATTTCTCACGAGTGCTTGTCTGTTTCAATCGTCTAAAATAAAGAAGAAAATTTAAAATTTCCAATTCCAACTTGTTTCTGTTTTGCGGTAATTTATTGTTTGTAATAGTATCTAAATGCGGCAGGTATTTATGTCTTTTGTTCGGATTTAGGATGACATTGGGATATTTTAGTAGATGCCATGAAAGTAAATTGAAAGACAGTTTATGTGTACGTATAAATTTCAGATTTATATGGAGGCGCAATGTATAACGACGCATAAATTTAAAACAACATTAATTTATTTTAACATAATACACAGCCATTGCTTGTGATATTGTAAATCTATAATACTAAAATTTATTTCAATATGTAAGCTCGTGTTCAAAATAATTGCCGTACATACATATTATTTTGTCAGCGTATAATTAACATAACAGTGAAATTCAATTAAAGAAACAAATTTTCTCATTAATCAAATTTTTGGAAACATCTATTTGCGTGCAAACATGTTTGTAACAAGTTTTATTTTCTAATTAAATATTATTAATAAAGTCATAAATGTAAATAAGAGGAGTTTTATTATTTTAATCACCCCAGTAAACATGCCATATTATATTACCGACCAATGTAAAATCCTCGTAATGACTTGCTTTGAAGTGTAAGCTTACTGATTTGAACATTATAGGATCAAAAACCATTTGTATTGGAATGAATGATTTGTATAATGAAGGTTTAAAGTTTATTACGCGGATTTATTAACTCTGAGACAGGCTTGTTGTAATTGTATAATTTTTTTATTATTTGTTTGCAAAGTATCAGGAAGGCACATATTTTTAGAAAAATATATTTAGTTTTTAATTTACTTGTTAATTTGATTATAATTAATAATGGTATTTATTTAATAGACGGTAATTTCAGTTAGCAAGACACTTTAGTAATCCGATATACAACAGTTAAAAAGATAATAAATGGGTGGTATAAAATGAGCATATTTTCTCGTATTGTACAGCGGAATTTTGTATAATTTACATATAAAAAATACTATTATACCGGCAGCACAATTCCGTCCGAATAACAAAAGTGAATATCATTATGAAAATTTCTTTGTCTGTTTGGGTCCAAAACTAGATTATGCGTGTGTAGATCAGGACATAAAGGAGGAATATGTCCCTGTCCTGGTAATATAATGTAACGCATTTCGGGAGCCACAAACCACGCCTTTATCATAAGATTTAATGTAAGTGTAGGTCCCTGCGGACCTGCAAATTGGGGTCCTGTGCCGAATCCCTTTCTTTGGTTACTCGATTTAATTTTCATGGTTTATGTTATGTTTGCCATTGCACCTTATTATCATTCACAACCGGATTATTCTATCGTCCGCTTTATGTTTAGATAAGCTTATGGCTTATGACGCTAATAATATATTTACCGACGAATAAAAACCATTAGGACACAAAACAATAGTGTACACGGTGGCAGACGTAATTAATGTGACAAAGGGATCTTAACTTTATGAATACATGACAAGACAAAGACAAAGTGGAGGAATTATATTTTTAAATGATTAAACTAAAAATAGGAAAACAACTTTTTAGCTTGAATCTCTATTGGGAAGGTAATAGCGGGTAAATTTGTCGATATTTTTGAATTGTTTGAGCTAATAAAGTACATTTTAAATAAGGTAATTACCTGCCGTTTCGAGGACCAACATTAGGAACATAAGAGGAGCTGGCAGTAATGGCCTCATCAGGAATGGTGCCAGATTCCATTCCGAGTGGTTCATTACACGATCCTGAAACAAACATACGTTCAGTGCAACGCATCCCTCATAATCTTTTGCTGAATTTATTATGCAGTGCAAACATTGCACTCCATTTATCCTGTCTGGACACATGATGATTTTTTATAAATGGCTTCCTATTTAAATATATTAAATTATGTGAAACAATTTTTTGGGTGTTTGATGTGGAAATAAATTTAATTAACGAAAAACATTCTATAAATATAGAAATCAAAATACATGTACCAACCTAATTATTTTGTTTTCAGTAGTTGAAAATTAAATTTCATATTTAATAATCATGATTACACCGTTATTCAACAAAAATACAAAGGGTGATTTTGAAGTGTGTGCAAATATTTCTATTCACAATCGCTAATGTAATATGCCGATTACTAACCTTTTAAAGGTTGGGAAACACATCATTATATCTCATGAGGAGTAATAACATTACTTCTCTTGGGCGGTAATATGTAGGATTGCCAACGTTCAAATTACAAAAATACCGGGAATTGTTTCTTTCAAATTGTCAAGTTACGCATAATATTTTGCTAAATTAGTATTCAATTGCTTCTGTAGCAGTTTTTCTACTTCTGGGGGAGCGCACTACTCTTTTTCAACAATTTTAATATCAGATTCAGACATTATTTCAATATATTTTTTTGACATTTCTGAAATGTCAATGTCATGTGATTTATCCGATCTTAAGGCTAGCGCCTCTCCATCGTATACATAAGCACTCGGGGTAATGCCATATTTACCACCTCGCTTGTAATGTACTATAACAATAGAAGTCAAAGTAACTTAACTTGCCTTATTCAAATTTATAGTTTTTGAGATACAGAAGGTTTTGTTCGTAGAATAAAAAAATCAAAATGAAGAAAGAAGTAATTTATTTATATTTGTAGATACTCTTATAACTAAAATATAAGGTGTCCTTTTAGTGATTACGACATCTACCGAGGGCTTATGGCAAAAATGCCCAAGTTATATTTTGAGAAATGTAAGCTCTGTAAGGTTGTTAAAATTTTCAATTATTTTTATATTAATTTCTGCCTGGATTTTTTTTTGTAATTTGACATTTTTAAAACTGTAGCTTTCAAAAACACAAATATCATTGTTACTTTTTATATTTCTACAATTTTTGTTTTTGTTTGTTTGCAATATGGTTTTCGAACAGACATAATAGTACATTACAAACGAGATCGTAAATATGGCATCACCACCAAGGTTTGTATACTATTTTATTCACAATCACATCATTTTTAGACAAAAATTTGAATAAAATAAAATTTTAACCAAGATAAGATTTAGGCCATCTAGGTCATCTAAACTGCTTGGTTGATTTTTGAATTTCAAAATGTCAAAAAAATATTGAAATGATGTATGAATCTGATATTAAAATTGTTAAAATGGAGCAGTGTACTCCCCCAGAAGTAAGACAAACTGCTACAGAAGCAATTGAATATTAATTTAGCAAAATATTGTGCGTAACTTGTGAAATCCGATTGTTTTTAGTAGTGCATTTAAATCAACTGCATTTACTATTCATATTGAAAACTTGTTTATGCATTTAAATAGAAAAATATCTACTTGCATATTTATTTGGGTGACTGAAATTAAAGCATATTGTGCATTTTTGTAAAAAAATATAATTACTTTTCAAATACAAAACTTTTGTTCACAAATTAAACAAATTGATGAATACAGGAACAAATTAACTAAATCTACCTTTAGCTTCAACTACAAATATGTTATTTCTGCATCAGAATTAGCTTGTATGTAGGTTGCCTCCTGTAGTTTTCCTGAAGATAAGTCTGTGGTGTTGGTTATGAATAGCATGTGTAGGAGCACACAATGTGATTAAACAAGCTTGCATATTTAGGCAATCATCTCGGTTGTCGGTGCAAGTCGCTTCCAGTTTCGTGAGTATGGAAGCTCGTTTCAGCGCCCCGTTGCGAGCTTATTAGACAAATTAATTGAAAAAAGTTTTTCTACAAAGACATACATACAAATATGATTATACGTCTGTAGGTCGAAGTGGAAACCGTGCCCGCGGTCTTCTTGAACTGATGCAGTAACCCGGTCACGTGAGCTGTTCTCATCACGTAATAACACAAGGCCTGCGGCATATTAATTCAAGATTCATGCGAGCTTTCATAAACTTTACATGCAGAAATGTTCTCTGATTACTCGAGTCGGGAACAGGTAGTTCCTTTCGCCGCCTGCGTGATTTATCGTCTCATATTTTCAGGAATAATATCGAGGGCGTTTGTAAAGGTTCTCTTCATTGTGGAAATTTGCTAAATTAGCTCTTTTATTACAATTGCTTTAAACGAAAGTTACGCTTCCAGTTGATATCAAAGTTCGAAATTTTCTTCAAATAACTCAGTTTGCTCATTGAAATATTAAAATAATTACAAAAGTTAGAATGAAATACACCCACATTGTGTTTTGAAATTGTTTCAGAAAAAAAAGTATACCGAGATCGAACTAAAACCAATATTGCAATGTTATTGTAGAGTTATGGGTAGGCAGAAGGTATTGTTTGTTTGATCTTATTGGTTGGTATTACAATTCATGAACTAAACTCTCAGAAGTTGTGATAATATCGGAATAGTTTAATAAGCCAGGTGAAGGTCTTGTCGGATACAGCCAGTAGAAATGACAAGGAACAAACCTTAGCTCATTAAAACCTTATCTTAGATTATTTATATTAGTTGAAATAAGTAAAACTAATTGTATTTACTTAGTTCCTGCAAAATAAAATATAATTAAATGGTGTAACAAAGTAGCAGGACTTTTTTCAATTATTCATGTATCTGAAAATTTCTATTATGTTGTGCATTCCGATTGCAAATGCCGCAGATTTAAAACATATTCTTGAAATTAGTTTTCCGATTTCTCGGAGAGTTGTAAATTCACTTTAAGAACGGAAGTAATTTCACATTTGTTTTTCTTCTGCTTTACACTGAAAATGAGATGGATTAAGAAAAATATACGTAGATGACTTTTCTGGAAGGTTAATGGTATATACTAAAAACACAAAAATAAAAACTACATAAATAAAAAAGAACTATTACCATTAAAGTGCAATTTAAACTATATTAGGTTTAAAACTATGTACTTTAAAGTTAATCCAAAATTAATAAGTAAATGTTTAATAACTCATTTAATATTAATTAGAACACAAACGTTGTTTTAAATTTTTTATTAACGACATAATCTACTCGTTCATTTTTAAAGAATTCTGAAAAGGAGTCCAAATTGATCTTTTTTTAATTGTGTTTGGTTTCTTACAATAAATATTTATCGGGTTCATGCATGTCGAAAAATAAAACTACACACATTAAAATCACAATTAAAAAGTTATTTCAGGTAAAATAAAAATTGGATCTATACAAATATAAAGAATTTAAAAAGAAATATTTATAAAAATACAAGTCCTGTTTATCAATTAAAATTTGTTTTTTTTTCGAGGATTTGGAACTGCTTGTGGACAAAATGCAGGATGTCATATTAAATGTGCAAAAATTTTAGATTGTATTTTGTTGTGACATCAAAATTTTGTTGTGTTTACATCACATGGACGTAAACAAGGTTGCGTTTTTAAGTTCTTGGGATTACATGCTGTCTTACAAGAAACAGAATGATTGATGGTCAGATTTGCATACACGTTTTTCTTTAGGATTATACAATGTAAATGGGTATGTTCGGTTTAGTGGAATGCGATGGAGCATCTGGCCAACTGCTGTTACATAATCCTCCCTAATCATTGTTGTTTAGCCGTGATTTGATTTAATCGTGCACCACCTGTGGTTTGTTCATGCGCTGCACCTTTTGGCAATGCATCCTAACTTTATCGTGAAAACATTGATTTACTTAATTGAACGCAACAGGCACGCAAATCAGAATTTATGGAGAAACTTGCAGAATATTTTTTAATTTCACTTCAAATTAAATGATGCGGAATTATTCATCTAGACTTCGCAGCTGGAGTGGATTTTATTACAGTGGGAAGTTTTCAGATTATTTTCCACCTGAAAATTGTAGTTTTGCAAATTTAAATTCGCGTTTCACTGTCAATCACTTTTATATCATCGTAAGAGGTTTGAAACAATCATCGGTTTGAAACAGCTCAAACTGACGCGGATATGCTTTCATCCGCGGCACGAAATGTAGATTGTAGGTGTATATTGAAAAATATCTACAGAAAGAAATTTATATTTTGTTGTATAAACACTCCTGAATATTGACATTGCAAATATCTTCAGATGCAAAACTTCGAATGCATTTGTTCTCAGAGTTTTTAATAGTCTATTTTGTAAAAGTTGTAAAAGTGTAAATCTACTTGAGTTGTATAGTATACTTTTTCTACTATCACATCTTCTTTTAAGTAAATCATTTTTGAGTCAGAAAACTATGAAATGTGAAGATTTTAAATTGTTTTGTATGATTTATTCTAAGTAAAGTCTCTCTCTACAGGTGTTTTAATTTTATTTACAATCCTGCTATATAGTTCAAATTATACAAGCTGTATTATAAAGAAAACAAGTCCTAATTTTATTACTTTTAAAGACATTATAATACTTTTTTGCTCAAATATAACAGTTTTTTTTGTTACTAATCGTTTGCTTGTCTTAGATAAAATTCTTTCCACAATCTAATTTATTTAATTTTCAAATTGCCTAAAATCAAAAGTTAGTGATAAATAATAGTAAGTGAGCTTGTTGAAAGACATTTTAATAATAAATTTAAAAATAATATATATAGGGTGTTACATTTAAAAAAACTTAAATGTCACTTCTGGTGAAACAGGAAGCAGGAGACATTGACTGAGCATCTATGCCAAAAAATAGATGACAAGAAACTGCTCAACTTTGTTCTAAGAAGTATTGTCATATTTTTAAAAATAATGGAGTTAAGGCTTCAGGCGTTTTTTATAATACAGCCTGTACATTCACATTTACCCAACATCCCAACACAATTCAAGTTATAGTAATTCGAGTAGG